TAGGTAGACATTTTACTATTTACAATGACCACGCTAGTCTTCAGTATTACAAGAACATTAAGAATTTGAGTTCTAGGCTAAATCGGTTGGCTATGAAACTGATTGACTTTGATTTCACGATAACACATAGGCCTGGTGCGGTAATGAGGGTCCCGGATGGACTGAGCAGGAACCCCATCAACGTGGAAATAGACAATGAAGCAGTTGCTGAGGAGATGCTGATAAACCTGGTCACTCAAGTTAACATTCACAAACTCCAGTTAGAAGACGTGTATCTCTTAAGCATTCGTAATGCTCTTCACGATCCTGTAGGAGCACGTGGGAAGATTAGGAGAGCCTCTAGAATGTATGTCTTAAAAGACGATATTCTTTACTACAAATCCTACTTTAGGGATGGGAACAAACTTTTACTAGCCGTCCCAACTGCTCTAGTAAAAGATATACTAAATGCATTCCATGATAGCTTATCTTCTGGTGCACATTCGGGAATAACAAAGACAGCGTACAAAATAGGAATGCGATACCATTGGCCGACAATGAATAAAGACATCGCTACCTACGTCCGATCCTGTTTAGATTGTCAACTTAGGAAAGCCGACAAGCGAAAGCCTGCAGGTTTAATACAGCCTATAAACCCTCCTTCTACGATCCCGTTTATGAAGATACAGATAGATTATCTCGGTCCCCTTCCTAGATCCAACAAGAAACAATATATAGTTGTGGCAACGGATGTTACCACAAGATACGCAGTCACCAAAGCCGTGGAGAAAGCAGACGCAAAAACTACAGTAAGATTCATATTGGAAACAATACTACCAAGATTCGGGTGTGTTCAAGAGGTCCAGACTGATCGAGGGACACACTTCACTGCGGACATCTTGAAACAGCTTCTCGACGCCCTAGGAATCCAGCATAAGAAGAGTTCGGCATATCGACCACAGTCACAGGGTCTCACGGAGCGCTTCAACGGGACGCTGTTGGACATGCTTCATTTCTACTCCAACAGCCAGCATACCAACTGGAGCAAGTTTGTGGACAATGTGACTTTCGCCTACAACACGTCAATACAGGAATCCACCGGACACTCACCATTCTATCTGCTGCACGCTTATGAGCCTCTTCATCCCATCGATTTGGCCATCCTCCCAACAATCCCGGACAACGACATCTTAGAAGCAGTCAAGAGAATCCATGATGTGCGAGAGAAAATCCCGGACATCCTCCACAAAGCCCAGCAGCGCCAGAAGACCCGTCATGATGCAGGACACACACCACGCCATTACGATCCGGGTGACAAGATACTTCTAGCAACTCCCCATTCTGGCGAAGGATCGAAGAAGTTGGCCCCCTCCTATCGTGGCCCATTTGAAGTGAGGAAGAAGCTCTCGGACCTCAACTACGAGATTCATCTTCAAAAGGCGGGAAAATGGACAACAGACGTAGTCCATGTAAATAGGATGAAACCATTCTATGATAGAAGAGAGTAGTTGTAGAGTATTGTAGTTATATCAATTAAGTAGGGATTATTATTTGGCGCAAATAAATTGTACTTGGATTTTCTCTTAGGCAGTGTAGTAAATGTAATACGTAGAATGAAAGTTTTTATGTTATAGGTACTATTGCAAATCAACAATTGGTTAAAGCAAATCTCCTAAAAAAAAGGTACTAGGTAGTAGTAAAAAGGGTTATTTAATAGTAGGTAGATTTAGGTGTAATACATTATAATACATTGTAATCTAATAGGTTAACAATCCACACATTTATTCATTAATTAGAAAATTAACTTAGTTTTTACCCTACTATCACACAATCACTGATCTTTATGAGTAGGAAAATTACAACAGCAACAGTTTATAATTGGCAAATGATTTTATCTCTTTTTACTTTCGAAACTGTTGCTAATAATTAATTGTTTTTTTGTTCGCCTTGCCATAAACCCATAAACAAATTATAAAAAAAAACTTTCTTTATATTACATAACATACATACAACCACTAACACATGTTGTTTCTTTTCTGTTTACATATATCCATGGGAGCTGAGATGCCGACGACGGTCAACAACACATCGCTGAGTTGCACTTAGTCCGCAAGGTCGCCGCCACACCCGACACTAGTCTACTATCTACGCTGACGCCACCAGTCTTGGCCACAACCTAATCCACAGCCGCTCTACATCTCTACCGTCTTCTCATCAACACCAATTAAGAATCTAAATTTGACATTGTTAATTTTCAATTGCACAGGTTCCTTTTAACAGACATGGGGACCATGTCTAACTGGGCGGGGGTAATGTGACGGGTAGTCACCAAAAATTATTTTCTAAATTTTGGGATTATATTTCAAAAGTAAAAGACCTGGTAAATGGATTTCACAATGCATATACCAGTGTCAGAACATTGGCATTTAGTAGACAGAATTCTTGATGACACGTAGCTTGCTCAATCGACCGACCCACAAAAACCGTAGACTTAGCAATTGTACTTTGGAGAGACTGAGGTCGGAGTTGACCGGAAGGAAGACACTTGGCCCCAGTAATATCACGGGGACACTTCGCCGGTCTCCGGGTTTTTGGTAAGGCGATTACTTTATTAATATTTAACTTTATAATTTTTGTGATTGTCCAGGCTAACTTACCTTTTTAAAGTCAGTGATTGATTGATGTTAATCGTAATCATTTTTATAATAATTGATTTCATTTATAATTTGTGTGAATAAATATAGTTACTATTAAATTCCTGTTTGAATATAATAACGTGTCAAAAAGAATTATAATTATTAGAGTTTTATATAAATTTCATTTGCTTAGGCCTACTTAAATAAAAGGAGCCTGTAATTATTTTATCATCCATTTTTATTATTGTCTTTATTATTATCTTTATCATATTGTCCACCCATTTTATTTGAATAGTGATTAAACATTCTTTTACCTCTCACTAAAGTATTCTTATTATTTTAAATCGATCCCGGTTACGCCCCCGGTCACAATTCCAATCGTGGCACTAGGATGCAAACCCTCGACTGAGTCACAGATCAGTTCATTTAAAAAACAAAAAGTGTCAAAAGTTGAAGTACAACAAAAAGACATCCACAAGAGAAACGATTCACAGCTATAAGTTGATCAACACCAAGGAACCTTTTAGTAAATTTATCTTGATAAAAATGTCCATTTGAGATAAATTTTGCTCTTGGTTTAGATTTGATGATTTACTGATAACCAGGACTAGATTCGAGATGGGTGGTGTTTTAGAGCCTCTATAGAAAAAGTGTTTGAATCTATAACTATTTTTGGGATGATGTACACACTAGTGCTAAGATTGTGTTGTTAGCAAATTTCCCTATAGAGAAGTAGCTATTACTGTAGTTCTCATGGTAACACTTAGGCCCGGGACCGATTTACTTTTTCATTTTGATGTCCCCAGAGGCCAAAAACACCATTCGTTCAAATTTTAGCGAATTTCCCTATAGGGAAGTAGCTATTACCGTAGGTCTCATGGTAAGACTTAGGCCCGGGACCGATTTACTTTTTCATTTTAATGTCCCCAGAGGCCAAAAACACCATTCGTTCAAATTTTTATATATGTATATATATATATATATATATAGGTATATATATATATATATAGATTTATATATATATATATGTGTCCGTGAACACGATAACTTGAGTAGTTTTTATCCGATTTTGATGAAATTTGGTTTGAAGGTGTAAGGCGGGATAAACTTGAATGAGTTCGCGATCCAGCATGATCGGACCATGGGAACGGGGTTTTATGGGGGGTTTTATGGGGTAAAAATTGGTTTTTCTCACTTTTTACCCTCAAAACACAAAATTTCCCAATTTTTCTCTAAACCTTCTTAAAGAGCTTAAAAAAACAAACAATTCAGTATATCAAAGTGTTTTTGTACGGTTATTGGTTACGGATAAAACTAAAAAAATGGGAAATTTAAAATTCCCATGTTATTCTTATGGAGAATATTGTAAAATGTTGTAGTTTGCTTGTTTATGGATATATTTTGATCAAACTTGGCAAATTTATTTATTTTATAGTAAGCTATCAATATTTTACTAAAAACACACTACTTCATTAGTTTCCTTGTAGCAGCAAACCTAGGTACTCGTTAAACCTAATAATGTTATTTAAATAGATCAATTGAAAATCAATTCGGCCAAATGGAAATTCGCTTAGACGGCAGGTTTGCTGCGGCGGGGGTATTTATATATGTATATATACATATACATATAGATTTATATATATATAGATATATATAATAAGTATGATTGTGATTAGGGCTACTATATATAAATATGTGTCCGTGAACACGATAACTTGAGTAATTTTTATCCGATTTTGATGAAATTTGGTTTGAAGGTGTAAGGCGGGATAAACTTGAATGAGTTCGCGATCCAGCATGGTCGGACCATGGAAACAGGGTTTTATGGGGGGTTTTATGGGGTAAAAATTGGTTTTTCTTACTTTTGACCCTCATAACACAAAATTTCCCAATTTTTCTCTAAACCTTCTTAAAGAGCTTAAAAAAACAAACAATTCAGTATATCAAAGTGTTTTTGTACGGTTATTGATTTACGGAGAAAACTAAAAAAATGGTAAATTTAAAATTCCCATGTTATTCTTATGGAGAATATTGTAAAATGATGTAGTTTGCTTGTTTTTTGGATATCTTTTGTTCAATCTTGGCCAATATATTAATTTTAAACTTAGCAATAATTATTTTACTTAAAACACACACTTTATTAGTTTCCTTGTAGCAGCAAACCTAGGTACTCGTTAAACCTTATGTTATTTAAATAGATCAATTGAAAATCAATTCCGCCAAATGGAAATTCGCTTAGGCGGCAGGTTTGCTGCGGCGGGGGTATTTTATGCTTGCTTGTATCTCCAATGTCTTTAGGAGTGAAAGAGAGGGGTTTAGAGGGGTCACGTCAGGGCTATAGAACAAGGTTTGTTAAAATTTCAACTCACTAAAAAATCCACTCACCTGTTTCAATATTTCTTTTTCCTTTTTCACTGCTTCTGCTTCAGCTTTGTCTCTTTCCAGCGACTGTGCTCGGCTCTAAGAAAAATTTAACATGAGAAAAAATTATTATTTTCCAGTATTAGTCTAGGCTAACTTACTGTATATTTTTATACCTAATTTCATCACATATTTTGTAATAATTTAAAACAAAACCAGACAGCATGTAAAACTGGACAAAAACCATCTCAAATTCCTCCTACAACGATTTGACATACTTAACTTGGTTTGTCAGAACAAAAATTACTGGTATGACAACGTGAACTAGGATATGGTTAGACTTTTCCTAAACAATTTATTTACAGTTACAAAGGAGTACTCAGTTATAGCAAGTGGTAATAATGTAGTTGAAATTATAATAATTACCATAATGTAGTTGAAATTATAATAATTACCATAATGTAGTTGAAATTATAATAACTACCATAATGAAGTTCCTTACTGCAGGCCTTTATTGAGGAAATAATTTGCACCTTAGACCTTATATGGTTACGGTAATGTTGTGCTCTACAACCAGTGCTCGATTTGCGGGGGAACGTGTCGGAACGGAGTTCCGGTATTTCTCTTTTGGAAAGATAAAAATATTGGTATAAATAGGTACTAATCACATTAAATTGGTTACAGTTCCGGCCCTCATTTATTACAAATCGAGCACAGTCAACAACAAAAATTTTCAATAGGGTCCGAATTACAGTACCAGTTAACCCTTCAGAGTGCACATTTTTATCAATGTGGTTTTGCGTGTAATTTCCAGTTTCATAGATCTTTCAACAAGATTATAAGTTAGGCTTCCCAAAGAAGCACACCAATTATTAGAAGCTAATCACATGAATAACTTATATGAGCACACTTTTAGTAAAATCAACTTGATTTTTTCATCTTCCAATCCTACATTTAATGCTAAATAAGTTTGCAAGAAAGAAAATTGACAGAATGTTGACCATGTATACTATACTAAGACTTTGAAAACTTCGGTTCAACAAGTTGAAGAGGCTACTTAAAGTATAGGCCTATCACTTGTTTTGACTAGTCACAGACAAGCCTACTTACCAACTTCTCCTGTTTCATCTGCTTGCCGCGAGAGATGAGTTGCTGCCGCAGTTCGCCACCTTGCCGCAACAATTCCGCTCTCTGCTTGGCCTGCTGTCTCGCTTCTTCTCCCAAAACGTAACAAGTGTCACTGCAGTTGCCCGTCAAGTATTCATCCGACGCGTCGCAGCAATCTGTTATAATATGACAAAAACTTTCATTGACAAAAATTCTAAAGTACGAATTGGTTGCAAAAATTTGAATTATATGTAAAAGGTCTAAAGATAAATAAGGAGTTCAAGGGTTGATTATTCAATTTCTGGTATATTTTCAAAACCAAACCCAACATTTGTCATCATAATAGTTAAATTTACATTATTCAATAAATTGTAGCCTTTTATAGACCTATTCTACGAATAATAAATACTAAATACTCTGACCAGGGTTATATACTAATCTAAGGTTTGATATCCAAGTCATTCTTCAATTAATCAGAAGGAAGCCAATTAGATTACTGAGAAAAGTCAGAACCTCTTTGATATTGTTATAAAAACTGGACTCAGCTATCCTTAATCATCAGGTGTTACAAGAACCAGCTGATCTGAATAAGAAACAAAGTTTTTAACTCATTAATTAACACTCGTTCTTCTATCATATTTGCCTTAAAATACGCATCCTAGACAGCGCCAGATCTACCACGTGTAGGGCCGTAAGCAAAAGGGAGCCACACTGTTAAGTAGGTCTAAAAAAAATTATTTTTTTAAATTAAGTAAGATTAGATTAGGGCGGGCCTGATGATAATGATGTCCACCCGTATTTTCATATAGGCCTATTCACGATTCTGCCAAGATTTTGGATGACAATGATGATGTCCCCGTGCTCGAATGAGATGTTCACGATTTCTTTGCGGTCGTGGGTGGTGATGATGAAGTAGACCTACCCCCTGATCCCAGAGATATTCCTTTCACCGTGTTCACGGATGATGATTTTTATGTCCATTCAATCGCAGATGCTTATAATTTCTCTGTGACTAAGGGAGATGTTCATGATTGTGCCATGATCGTGGTAGGTTGCACCTATACTTAGGGAGATGCACAAGAAGGCTGCTCGGGTTAATTTGACAAAGTATACCTAATCAATAGGCTATGTACTTTAGTGGTACAGTTTTTAAAATTAAGGCAGTTAGAAATTACTGAAGTAAAATGCTGTACAACTCACCACAAATCCCATCATTGACTCGGGATGAAGGTATGTTGAGAGGTTTGTGTCCAGCGTTAGTGCAGTGAAAGACACCATTCGGGCAAGCCGGAGTGCCAGGCTCATCCGTACCATCGTGGCAGTCACAGTAGTCATCATTCACATACTTAAATGGTATTGTTCGCAAACCATCGAAACATGTAAATTCAGTACTCGGGTCATACAAAGACACTTCTGAAAACAAAAATTACAATTAGACCATAAGTTAGGCTATTTTCTAACAACTTTCTGATGATCACACAAAATCAGAAACGAAAATCAAGTAATTTACCTCAGGCCTAATATAATTCTTTAAATTTACTAATAAGAGAAACCTAAATGAATAAATAGGCCTAGGTTAAGATTGGATAATACAACCAAAGATAGGGTTCCTCATTTTGCAGGTTTAAACAAAATATCTGTACTTACTTGATATTGAAACACCCCTTGGTCGTAAAATTTCACTTGATACATTTATATTAAACAAAACTAACATACAACCTATCTTAAGCGAAATATTTATCATTATTGTTGTTAAAGTAACCCGGTTTAGAAAATTAGGTTATGATACGGAGGGACTTGAAAACAATTGGTTAGAATGGGAACCATAAAAATTGAAAATTTTAAAATCAAAGACCTCCAAACGTAAACAAACCAACCAATTGCCTACATCCACGAGTAAAAAGGGGCTGTCCATAAAAAATATTGGCAATTGACATTATATTGTACAAGCACGAATACTACAAGCGTAAGTTAATGGGGAAAAAGGATCAGTTTATGTTAGCATTACAGTTACAGTAAATGGCCATGCTTATGCTAAGATATAATAAATAATTAAGCCTACCTTTACCATAGTCATTGGGTCCATGCACTATGCAGAGTCGGAGAGAGAGGAGAAATGGTGTAAATCCATCAAACATAATAGTTTTTTTTATAAAGAAACTATAATTATTGACTATTAACCGACCTACCACTTGTAGGTTAGTAGTGAATGCTATAAAACCATACTAAATAATTAATTGTTATAAGCCCATACTACATCATATACATATATACACTAAGTAGCAGATAATCATTGTCCATACCCATTTACTGTACTCCTATCCTGTTTTTGTAATTTTCATTTTTTCACCAAGGAAAGCTATGTTGTGTTTGTGTTCTTTTTGTTCTTTCCTTCCACATTCGAGCAGCTGGAACTTAATAAACTTGAAGGCTTGAAGGGGAGGGAAGGGAAGGGAAAAGAAAAGGGAAGTGAATGTTTATAAATACTGGGAATAAGTTGGTTAAGTAGTAATACTAATAGCATAGACAAAAGCTAATAGTTTCTCATTTATTTAGCTGCCATATATTGTGAATAAATGTAAGCATGTTTAATGTATTATTTTAATTTTATTGTAATTTTATTCCGGTTAAGTATTGGCCTTATATTATAGTAGTATGAAATAACTTAACACTAGTTTACTGGTAAATCAACTCAAAGAAAAGGTATAGGCTATTTTATAAGTTAAATCTTGGAGTTTATAACTTAGCCTAGCCTATGTTTATAAACCTGTGAAACTTGGATAGGTAACAACTCTTATCAAACTTATCGAACATCAAAATATCGATTAGATTGATAACCAGGCCTACATCTAGCCCAACCAAAAACCAAACTATCAATACATAACGATGGAGTCGGATATCAAAGTTTTGCCTAGAAACCCCTCATGGTTTTAGCTTAAGTCAAAGAGATGTTAATCTACTAACTTATATGTTTAATCAGAACATTTATAGGCGTTAATAAAATAAACAACAGTCTCTACTTTATATTATAGGTTTTCCTAGCGGTTTCTTTTTTTATTGCATTCAAGAGTCGTTGTTGTTAATTGCTGGGGATCGCCTGAGATGCCTAAGGTATTTTAGAAGTTAGAATTCCCAACTAACCTTTAGATGGTTAAGACATAGGCCTAAGTTAGCTTCAGCTATAAACTTTATTTTGTTGGCATCCTTACCTATAAGTCTACTTGCACCATTATACACTTCCCAATAGAACTTTTTTGTAACTTTGTTTGATTCTGTTGTAAGGATGTATTCATCTGAGTTAGAAGAGTTGGTAGATGATCCAGGACTGCCTGAGAATCCCATTGGTACCAGTGAAGATACCTCTTCAAGGGTCAGACTTGACGCTAGCGACGATCTAGATGATTCAACCAATATTGATGATGTAAGTTAACTAGCCTATTGACCTTTTAAGCCCCAAAGGCCGATATTATAGCAATTAGGACTATTGACATAAAAAACTTAAGCATGCGACTATGGGGATAACTCAACAAAAACAGCTGAAATCTGTAACTTACCTGATGTGACGACAAGTGCTGTGTGACTGTTGGGTTTACTAAATGTTATCTTATAAAGTCGTTAAAAGTTAATTTAAAAACATTTCAAAATTTAAAGCCTTATTGATAAAATAACGAACTTAATAAAAAATAACTAAGTTAAGTTAAATATTTATTATTTAATACCCCCCCCCCCCCCACCCAGCAAACCTGCAGACTAAGCAAATTTCAACTTGTCTGATTACATTTTTACTAGAATATTTCCATAAAATAAGACATATTTATTCCTAATTTAAATAACATTAGATTTTTAACGAGTGCTTAGGTCTGCTGCTACGAAGAAAATGAAACTTTTGACCACGTTAATAGAATAGGATGAAACTAAAATTTGCCAAATTTGATCAACATATAAGTTATCCGGATAAACAAGTAAACTACAACAGTTTTCATTTTCTCCGTAAGAATAACATGGGAATTAAAAAAAATTGATAATCTAACTTAAATATATTGAAAAAAATTTAAATACTGAGAATATACCTAACTTTTATAATGGCCTCTAGGGAACTCAAAAAAAAAAAAAAATGAATCGGTCCCGGGTCCAGGTCGTACCATGAGACATATAATAATGGCTTATTCCCTATATGGGAAATTTGCTATTAAGGATATACTAGCTTGGCACATTTTCAAATTGGCAGGCTTTGTAATAAAGGATGTAGGTGTATTTAGTGGTAATAAGGGATGACTGGGTAGCTGAGTATTTATGGAGCTCGCCTATAGTAATCAAAAGGTCGCCGGTTCAAGCCTGAGAAAAGTTTGTAACTTTACTATGGTTCGAAACAGGACCCAGCTGTCCTGATCTGGCTTTCAATGATCCTGACCACAGATAAGTAAAATATACAGAGGAAACATGCTTATGGAACAACCGTGCGCTTTTAGCTCAGGAATGGTGGGACGGAAATATACTAGTACCGAGCCAGTAAGAGCCCGAACGGCTATTGTTTACAACAGCAAACGTACCATACCGCACTGGCTCTTTCTACAGCGTGAGTGCTATAGTACGTGATGGTGAGGATGGGGGGAGGAGAGCGAAAGGGGATGAATAGAATTTGAACTAGACACAAGCAACTGGTGCTAGACATCACTTAAGTGTACCATTGAATGTTTCCTCTGTATCTTACTTCTCTGTGTCCTGACTAATGAAACAGCTGGTCTTAGTCAGTAACTGTACACTACAGAGATCACCTCACTTCATTCAACACTCATATTTCACTCATGTTTGGGTTGAAATACGCACCTAGGTGTCGTCCTCATCTCAATTGGTAATGGTAATAATACTGTGATCTACAGCAAAGCTGTAAAATTTTTGTTTGTGAAGACATGGCGGGGTTTATGTCCATGAACTTTTATCTTGTAATTTAAACCTCAGTAACTTAGCATTGTTTATTGTATATCAGATGACAGAATAGTTTTGAATCCTAATTTTCATATCGGGAATGTATTAAACCAACAATTAATTTGTTGATACTTTCTAGATTGTGTTATGTGTTTACTACCATTCTGAGGCCTTGGCTGCTGCTGTGTACAACACTGGGACATCGGAGGTAATTAATTATATCAATTAAAGAAAAGCCTTTATTGTTAACCTCATTCATCAAGTTTAATTTCCTGTTTGATTGTGATTTGAAGATTTTATTTTTATTTTGCTCAGAAGAGCATTTTACTGATATAATTCTTGTTTCTTTATGACATGTAGCCTTTAAAGATGTATAAACGATTAGAATTCTCAAATGACAGAAATTGTTCAGCCTTTCATCAATGAAAATTACTTGTTTTTCACATAATTCTCGAAATACAAAGAGATTATAGCCCAATTAATATTTAATAAATTCTCTCTCGATTTTAGATGCAGATTATGTCCAGTGAAACAGATTTAGCTCCTGATTTTAAATTGCTCTGTAACCTCTATCAACAGTTTAAACCTAGGTGAGCATAGGTTATTCTTGACTCTTGATTCTTGATTCCATTGTTGAACTTAAAAGGTAACGATCAAAAACATTGTTTAAAAAGAAAAGTTAAATGTGACAAAATATTTTTATACTTGCTACAAAATTCTAATGTAAAATGAGTCTTATTGACATTATCGTAAGTGAATATATATTTTTTAGCTAAATCATAGTTGTGTAAAATAATGATAAAAGTTCATTGAAACCATTCTGTAAAATGCATCTTTTTAAATACAGCCACGTCGTGACCAGTTCGTCACTGTCGCAGCCGTTCCTACTGAAGGTCCATGGCCTTATCACTGGGCAGGATCTGTCAGTTACGCCGTCTGTCGATCCTCCTACCTACTCTGAAAGACTGCACTTCATACCTGCCAAGGAGTTCCGTAAGATACAGAGGGTGGCCAAATTATTAGACTAGACGTATGTACTGTAGTTTAATGCATTTTTGACTTAACTTTGAATTTGGTTAGAAAACATGTATAAACTAAAATAAAACTGCCTCATTTGGTATGGACTACAGTACCTATAAAACCAATTTATATTATGCTTGAATGTTTTTCAATGTTTTTGCCAAAGGCTGTGATACAATGCTGTGTCTTCTTTACAACACTAACATGTTTCATAGGCTACACTACCTGTAAAAGGAGTGTGCTGGAGTTGAAACTTCCGATGGAACTTGAAGACGTCTCAGAGGAGGACAGACACACCTACATCATGTCTCAGATAGACCTAAGCTCGGAGGTAAAGTGGAGAACATTTGTTTAGTAGATTTTATTGAGTTTAATGTATGTTTCGCATATTTAGTAGACAAATTCAGGAACATAATTCATCTCCTGTGATGTTTTTTGTAAGGAAAATGTAGTAATCCTGGAAAAATTATCATGCTGGCAGGAAAAAAACTGATGTAAAGATAATTTGGGCTGATTCACAAAAGCTCACATCTACTACAGATGGCTACTCGAATGTTTAACAGAACCTTAAAATCGTTTTTGGATTGGATAAAGGGTTGGCTAGGTCTGGCAACAGTTTAGGCATAGCAATGATATAATTGAAAGAGTAGGTCTGTAATTAATTACAAGTAAACGTGGTATAATTAAAAGTTTGATAACAAAATATTGTAACATTTTTAAAACTATAAAATACCACTTAACAATATGCCTTGACTAATACAAAGAAGAGATTAGACCGCTGCTGAAGAATTCTCATATCATATGGTTTATCTTTTGCAAAGGTTCGGTGTCGATCTGAAGAATATTTCATTCGAGCCTTCGTGCTCTTCTCTTCATTGCTCACCTAGGGAATTTAGGGTAGGTAATTTAGATAATTTTGTAAGAGTACTACAGTAGTTCCGCACTGCAGACAAACTCTTTCTCGGCTTATACTCTTCCCATAGTCAAAAAAGTATATTAAATGTGTTATTGTTGATCTTTTTGCAACATTTAATAGCTCAAAATTTTAACACAAATACCAACATTGAAGGATGCATTTCAAATCTTATATTTTTAGGATAAAGAAAAATGGAGTGATGTAAGACTTTATATTTTAGATTATTCTCCCTGCAACTCTTCTTTAGTTAAACCTGAACATATAATCTATTAACTATTATTATAACCCCCTGTGTTATTATTGACAGGGTCTAGTGGCGGCAATTGGAGGGCTTTTGTATTTCCTGCAGCGTTCTCTGACCAAAATCAGACTAGTTGCGTCAATCGAGATGCCCATTCTAAGGATTTCATATATTTCAATGTAAGTTGACTAAAATTTGTACGTGCTTAGTAAGCAATGAGAGTTTTTAGTTAGCTTTGCATTCTTCTTCAATGTAACTTCCATGCTTTATTGCTATATTATGAATTCAACAAAATGCAAACAAAAAAGTTGCCACTAACTTCAACCTCTTCTCCATATTATAGTCAGAGTTTTGAACAATTTAATGTTGAGTTATTTGACAATTTTGTGGTCAGGCAGCAGTCAAACTCGTACAGACAAAGTGTACTTTTCATATTAAAACTAGTTGAGGTTCGCAGGAGATTTTGAATGCTATTAGAAAATAACCCAATTTCGAGAAGTAAAAATTAATGACAAAATTAAAATAAAGGATGGAGGATAATAGGTAAGTGATCAGTTTCAAGAACCGATTTGATCGCCGAAGGAAAATAACTGATATTTAAGATGGACTGATCATGTGACAATGAGGGGGACAGTTAAACTAAAACATATAGAGAAGAAGTTCCCCTGGAGCCCGAGAAAAGGTGGAAAAGATTAAGTAAGTCATGTTAGTTGAAAGACATGATCAGGTTAACTGGTGACGTAAAATATATCTATGTAAAAAGGCCATTGGAGAAGTAAGTAAATAGATTTAATAACAGTTGTTTTTACGACTATCCCCTATAATAAACAGGTAATGCACCAACCAATTCAACTGTAACTATTCACTGACAAAATGAGAATGTTTTATAATAAAAACCTTTGGAACTTTGAAACCTAGAAAGTCGCAACCGAATTCTAGGTACTCACTCGTTGCTTCTTTTATTTTATTTTCAGGAAGGACGTAGTTTGGATTGACAATGAGACCTTGCATGCTCTCAACATCTTCTCCCCGGGACTGCATCCGTCCTCGTTCAAATGGTCGTCCAAAGCCAACGAAGGCTTTTGCGTCTTCTCCCTCCTCAACCACTGTTATTCCACTGTCGGCTCCAAACACATGAGGTGACCTGTAAACTTGTAAATACAATAACTAATGAGCTTGTATACTGGTCATTGTTATTGGCTAAGCCAGTGGGGGAGCGAGCTGGTATATAAGTAGATTGCGGGACTTTGGTCCCTGAGGTCCCACGTTCAGATCTCATTTATGGATTTTATTCAAGTGATAATGCTGTGACCCCTTCTAGGTCCAGCCTGAATTAATGTGAAAAACTATTCCAGGCTAGAAACTAAAAAAAATAAAATAATATTGTTCAAGTTATTTGAATTTTCTAAGAAAGAATCATTATTATCATCGGAAGTTTTGGCCAGCAGGCGTGGCAGTGGGCAGGGCTAGTGCCACCATCTTGTCACCAAAATGTTCTACATTCAGAGTACAAAACCAACTTGTATATTTTACAAAGTTTCATTTTTGTTGTATTTTCAGAGTGATGCTGTCTCAACCAACCAAAGATATCAATGTGATTAAGAAGAGACAACAGGTCATCGCTTTCTGTTTGAGGTCAATCAACGAGCAGACTGTGAAGTCTTTGGCAGACTCTATAGTTAATGTCAAGTCTGTAATGGTAAATACAAGGTGGACAGATTTACATATTTAGTAATCTATTTATTTTTGCCTTTATTATATTCTTAAAACCATTTGACAGAGTCTTATTACACTGTTGTGGGCATAATGTATTTGTTTATTACTCAAACAACTTTTTTTATCCCTTCAGGAGCATTACTAGAGACCGCTTCCAGGGTGGGCTACGGTTATATTCAATTTATGTTTTTGCGAAGAATGGCAGGTGATTTTATGGCAGATGAACATAGTATGTTTGTAGATTTTGTGGATGGAAAGTGGACATTCCTGCCGATTCTGTAGACATTTTTGTTGGTGTTAGAACAGCTGATAGCTGATTCAGGACACTTTTGGTACTACTTACCGGTGCTCTGCAGAAGATCTGTGACCTTGTATATTGCATACCGTAAATAAACATAACCCAATAACAACTTTTATATAAAATAAATCAGGAAATCATTAAATAAATTTCTTTTATTTGACAAATTAATTGTGAAGCTAGCATTTGGGAAGGGTAATATATTTATAATAGAAAGTAGCTTTCGATATCAATCTCAAACAGTAATGTATGAGATTAAGTAAGATTTTTCTGGATTTTGTTGTAACTACTTTTGTAATACCGTAGCTTGTATTTTATTTTCAGAAAATCCTAACACGAATGACCAACGCTCAAGCTTCAGTGAGTCAATGGAAGACTTTTTACAATGTAAGAGATTTTCCTCAAGTATTATCTACCATACTTCACAAACAAACCTATTAATAAATCAACGATATACTATATACAGGGTGAATCAGACTACCCATTCACATACTTTTACAAAAGCCACCTGTGTAACTAACTGATCATACTCGTTTACCCACTTCTGGAATAGTTAAGTGATCTGATATTTTTGTAGGGGTCTTTCTTGGTCTGAACCCAGAAAGTCCAAAAATTTACATTTTCAAATCCCAAAAAATCCCTTAAATCCCCCTTTTTTGAGGAAAACAGTTTTTTTTACTGCTATAGATCAAAAACGGTACGAGCTAGCAAAGATTTGAAAGAATTTTCATATTCAAATTTCACATAAGTGGAAATTTCACATTGTATGAAATTTTCATAGTGGAATTTAATTTTATACAAGACACTGTTTAGAGTTTTTTTGAAAATCGCACTCCTTCACCTTCGAAAAACACCCTACTTCAAAAATTTGTATAATGTCTTGGATTTTTGACGTCCTTTTATTTTTTAAAACTACTTTTGTGACATATATTTTTGCTTTCCCAACTTTGAAAGAAAAGGGCCTAAAGTGACATTTTAAAATAGTAACCCTCTATAAAAATTATTAATGGTGGATTTTCAATAAGAAAATGTAGTTTTTTAACGCTTGTTGTGCCAAACCGTTGTGTACGGGTTAATTTTCTGATTCACCCTGTATTGTATAGGTTTTAAACTAATCTTTAAATGATACAATTATGATATGTTTCATAAAAGTATTGGATACATGTAGTAAGATTTTGCCGCAAGATGTGAATGCTGAGCCTCATTTCACTGAACTGAAAGTATTATAATAGGAACAGTCTTCTTTATTTTCAGCTCCAGGATTCAAACATTTCAATTGCTATGTATGGTTAACTAAAGGTCCCTTTCTATGAAGATGAAATTCCACTAAAAAAGTCACAATTAATTAGGCCTATGTAGGTGATTTGTAAATAATCTTTTACACTTTTTACCTGACTTTCTTGACAAATAATACATACATAAATGTCTTCTCCACGTCCTTAGAGTCAATGACCCTGGGTAATACAGACTACTATCACGCTGGAGTTGTCAACAAGTACTGGTCTTCCTGATGGATCCAAATGTTGATTGAGGATTATGGGTAGGGATGGATCCACAATAGGGGCAGGGCAGTGGTTGGTTGAAATATTGTACATGTGGTGTAAACATTTTCTTATGGAGTGAACTTAATCTGTCAGTTACATTTTTGTCTCTGACTGCAGCGGATGTTGTTGAAATAAACACATTTAAGATAGATAATGTTATGATTTTGATAATACTAGTCAGAATAACTTATTGTAAATATTTTGTTGACTTTTTGTATATCAGTAATATTATTTTTCCTGGTCCAGTACATAAAACGTGTAAGGCATTTATAGAACTTTCTACCTTAATTCATTCCTCCTTTCAGACAATTTATAACGCTGTACTAGTTGGGGAAGTGTGCAAAGCGAACTCTACTGACATCATATTCTTCAGAGAGGTGACAAATAAAATAAACACAATAATATAATAATTTAAAAAAATATTATAGTAATTTTGTATATTTTACTTGATTTTTTCTTCACTCAAATGTTTTTGAATTGTATGAAAAAGTGTGTGTTCTTCACCGTGAGGTCTTATGGTATTCCTGTGTAAGTGGAAAATACCTAACGTAATGCTGTGATATTTATTGCAATTTTTATTTCAGACTAGGAAAAAATTAGTTTGTTAACAGTTGGTATATTTTTCCCACATTAATTTATATTCAAATTCACAAATCGGTAAGCATTTAACCATCTTGTCACAGAAAACATACTACTATAACCCAGAATTCCAACCGCATGATAAAAAGCGTTGAGTACTTTAAGAGAGCTTTGCCTACGAATTGACAGGCAAAGCTCTCTCAAAGTACTTAACGCTTTTTACTATGCGGTTGGCATTCTGGGTTATAGTAGTATGTTTTCTGTGATCTTGTCAAGCAAACAGGTCTCGATTGATTTTCTATTTCTGTAATGTCTTGTCTCACATTATTTGTTTAAACTGCGTAATGAGCACCAGAAAATCTGCTCTTTACCACAACCAGCTGAGAGAGAGTGGATGAGGAGCTTTTTGGTAAGCGAGTTTGCTTCACTCCACCTCCATCATTGTTTTTACAAACTAAAGAATTAGTTTAGTCTGCTTGCCACGGAAATAAACAAATATTTATTAGCAAAATTCCCATGTAAGGGAATAAAAATGACAGTTTTAGGGAACAAGGATTAGGTCTCATGGTAAGACCTGGACCTGGGACCGATTGGATTCTTCATTTTGATGTCCTCAGTGTTTATTTGCATTTCCAATCACACACAAATTTTTATTTTGAATAAAATATAAATTTACTATTTACTGTACTAGACCTTTGATTGTTAACTTATATTTTATTCAAAGTCAAAGTCATCTTTATTGTCACAAAACGTTTTTTTTTATGCTCTGGCACAGCCAGACAAAACAGGTGACATTGTCAAACTATACTAAAATAAACTAGCTTATATTGGTAAAAATAAATACATAGTAGGTAACAAAACAAACAATTCACATTGATTTATCTTCAAGAAACTGACCAATACTATAATAATTCTTTTCCAATAAAAATTCAAAAATTTTTTCTTTAAAAGATTTTAATCCTATTATAGATTTGTAGTACCCAGGCAAATTGTTAAAAAATCTTTTACCCATATAAGAAGGTGTCCTTTCCACAAGATTTAATCTGTGTATAGGATATTGAAAATCTGTATAAAATCTAGTGTTATAATTGTGTCGATTATTTTCACTGAGGAGTTTTTCAAAATTTGATTTCACATACAATAAACATTTAAGAATGTACAAATTAGGGACGGTTAGAATCTTTAGTTCTTTAAAAAGTTGTTTGCAAGAATGTTTTACGGGTTTAAAAGTCATAATTCTAAGTATTCTTTTTTGAAGTTTAAAAAGTTGATACGAATCAGATGTGACGCCCCAAAGCTCTATTCCATACTGTAAAATTGACGAAAATAAAGCGTGATAAATCATTAGTCTAGTGTTTAAATCAACAACATTTCTTAAGACCAACATTTGAAAACATACTGAATTTAACTTTTTAGAGGTGTTATGAATGTGATTCTTCCAATTCAATAAACCATCTACATCAATTCCTAAAAATTTAGCTGTGTTGCTAAGATTTATTTTTTCATTATCAAAATAAACAAAGCCTTTAAGATCGTCCCTACACTGTGCAGTTTGAAATTTTACTATTTGTGTTTTAATGTGGTTCATTTTTAAACCGTTTACTTTAAACCATTTTGACAGATCTTGAAGAGCTTGATTCAAGGCTAAACTTAGTTCATGACTGTCTTTTGATTTAATGATGGCTGTCGTATCGTCAGCATATAACAACAAACTAGGTTTAACATTCTTAGGTAGATCATTTATGTACATCAAAAACAATAACGGTCCTAATATAGAGCCCTGAGGCACCCCCATAACAATCTTTTCCCATTCAGAAGCATACTTAATGTTTTCTTTAATAATAACTGTTCTTTGAAAGCGATCGTTTAAATATGATTTCAACCACAAAATAACTGATTCTGAGAATCTATAGGAGGATAATTTATCAAGAAGAATTTGATGGTGTACACTATCAAAGGCTTTGGATAGATCACAGAACACGCCAATAGTGCTCTGTGACCCATCCAAGCTCTGTGTTATTGAATTTACAAAATGAGCCACAGTGGAAGTGGTACTTCGATTTTTCCTAAAACCAAACTGTTCATCAGCTAATAAGTTATTAGATTCCAGAAAATAGGACATTTGATTGAATGCAATTTTTTCAAATATTTTTGAAAAAGAAGGCAGGACAGAAACAGGTCGGTAGTTATCTGAATTACTCTTAGAACCTTTTACTTTCTCCCCCTATACCATAGTATATGGAGAAAGTATTGTTTTCGTCAAAATTTTCGAGTTTGAGTTTTGAGTGGATATATTCGTTTTGGGTCCCCCTGGACCCAAAAAAGTGGTTTTCGAAGTGATGTCTGTGTGTGTGTGTGTGTGTGTGTCTGTGTGTCTGTGTGTCTGGATGTGTACAGAGCTAGAGACTACACCTGTGGTTCGATTTCGATGAAATTTGGTATGTAGGTTCTAATCCATGGTATCTCCAGGCGTTTTTTTCATTTTTTTGAAATTTTGATTTTTAATGGGGATTTTCCTATAAAAACCCATAAAAAACCGGAAAAATCAGATTTTCTCAAAAATGACCCGAACGATTTTGATAAAAATTTAGTATGTTGTAGCCCTTTAAATTCTGAACAAAATGGTACAAATCCCATTTCTGTAAAAATTACGGTTCAAAAGTTATGGTAAATTATGTTATTTTCCCATAAAAATCCCATAAAATAACAAAAAATAGGATTTTAGACAAAAAAATCCGTTTTTATTTAACATAGTATGTTATGATCCTTACAATTTTGATAGGTAGTTTTTCTCATTTCTTAGAAATTTTTATTTTTAATGGGTATTTTCCCATAAAACCCCATAAAATGACGGAAAAAAAAGATTTTCCCAAAAATGGCCTGAACGATTTCGATAAAAATTTAGTATGTTATAGTCCTTTATATTCTGAACAAAATGATACAAATCCCATCTCTGTAAAAATTACGGTTCAAAAGTTATTGTAAATTATGTTATTTCCCCATAAAAACCCCATAAAATAACGGAAAATCATATTTTCCCAATATTGGCTCGAACGATTTTAATAAAAATTTAGTATGTTATAGTCCTTTAAATTCTGAAGAAAATCTTACAAATCCCATTTCCGTATATTTACTCTCACCGCTTACACATGATAAAGGTTGTTGACAAACTTATGGGAGAAAGTATGTGCCAGAATGCTGATACCGTTTATTTTAAATAATGGCTTCACCTCTGCATACTTCAAATGATTAGGGAAAGTGCTATTGGTTAAAGTCTGATTGATGATTATGGACAATGGCTCAGCAACAAACTTAATTACTTTTTTTAACATAGTAGTTGAAATCCCATCCCAACCAGCCGTTTTTTTATCACTTAGTGACTTGACTATTTTGATAACTTGCTGAGGTGTAACTAAACTAAAGTTAAAAATTGGAATATCAGGCCTATGTGTGATTGATTTTTTTACTAGTTCCATTGCCTTACTCTTGGAAAAATTTACCCCAAAATCCTTCCCTACCTCAATAAATTTAGAATTAAAGTGACTTGCAATAACTGTGCCATCTGAGACTATTCCCATTTTTTACTCCCCACTCCCAACAAGGATTCTTAAAACCTAGTTCCTTGTGCTTTATGTTGATCACCCAAACATTATAATTGTTGAAAAAATTGATATAGTTAGGGCCCACTTAAAGGTGTAATTAGTACCCAGATTTTCTACTAAATTTTTAATACCACGATAGAGTTTTAATATCTTGCTATAAAAAAAGCGGTATCTATCTATATATTTATTACGTAAGCCGATTCTTTGCGTCAAAATTGTGGGCGACCGGGAAGTCGTAGAAAGACGGGAGAGGGCTCAAATTAAAGGTCTCAACCCCGTGACGGCGGGAAAAATAGTGAAATTCCCAAAATCTTAACAAAAAATTAGATATAACGTAAAATGTTCTCCATAAGAATAGCATTAGAAGGCATTTTACTGCTGATTTTTGTTTACTTCAATACAGCTGATCGTGATTTATCATCAAGCAAGTAAGCAATATTACATTTGGATTACTCATTTGCCAGTCAATTCTGCAATGTAATGTATAGCCTACTATACAGGGTGTTTCAGTAAAGCGTAGCGGGCTATGCAGATTCAGATTCTACATGCAAAAATAAGTCGAAAATGTAGAATAACTTTTTTTCGATTTCGGCTTAGTTTGGCCGTAATCCGCCATTTTGTATTTTTTTGAAAATAATTAATAACTCAAAAACCCTTGGAGATACTTTTATGAAACTTGGTACAAACTTTAATTCTACAGGTATAAACATTCTCCGAAAATATCTTTGATCAGGCTCATCAAATTTCAAAATGGCGACCATTTAAAATTTTTGTTTTAATGGCCGGTTTTCATTGTATTTACTTAAAAAATTTTAAATGGCCGCCATTTTGAAATTTGTTGAGTCTGATCAAAGATATTTTCGGAGAATGTTTATACCTGTAGAAATAAAGTTTGTACCAAGTTTCATAAAAATATCTCCAAGGGTTTTTGAGTTATTAATTATTTTCAAAAAAATACAAAATGGCGGATTATGGCCAAACTAAGCCGAAATCAAAAAAAGTTATTCTACATTTTCGACTTATTTTTGCATGTAGAATCTGAATCTGCATAGCCCGCTACGCTTTACTGAAACACCCTGTATAAAACCAACTATATAAAGGGACAACGTTACCCATAATAATCAAGACTTTTTATTTATGTCAAAGTTGAAATAAATTGTTTTCAAGATTAAAGAAACGATTCAAGATTAAATGAAGATCTTCTTTGTTTTGATTTCAAATAATATGTTAAAGATTTATTCCACACTTTTTTGTAAATTTACTAACATTTATATTTGAGATGTATTGTAGTGTTTAATCAATATTTTGTATGAAGTGGAATAACCTCAACGGTTACTCTTTGAAAACAATTTGGGAATAAAGATTAAGAAGGTTCGTACAGGTATTTGTTCATTAAGTACTTAAGTACTTTGTTGCTCCAAGCAAAAAATGTTCAAATAATATAGCCTAGCATGCTCGGTAGTAAAGGCAGCACCTATTTAACAGTAGAACATAGAGATAATTTCCATTTTTTTTTAACTAATCAAAAATATTTATATCGTGATTAGTTTCGATAACTGGGTAATGGAACCCTAACCAGTCACAAAATAGTTAGTAATTAGACGTTGATTGGGCCCTTTTTTGGTAGAATATTTAAATCAATCGCACCTTTGGGAGGATTACCACCACATATACAGGGCGTTTATAAAAGAATCATCAGGTTTTAAAACATTTTATTGACGTTAATGTTAAACAAATACTGATATAAAACATATCAACAAAAAGACTGTTAAATTTGTCATAGATACCCCTACAAGTGCTCAATGTGCCATCCATTAGCCGTGGAGCGAATTTCCAATCTATGCAGTAACTTGTCCCATACACCGGCTAGCATCGCAAGGTTGGTTGATTCTACGGCATTGCAAATTCGTCCAGGGAGCTCTTAAGCGTTTGAGGCATTGGCGGTACATAAACTTTGTCTTTTACATGGCTCCATAGAAAAAAATTACACACCGTAATATCAGGAGATCAAGGGAGCCATTTGAAAAGGGTCAAGTCATTATCGTTACATCTGCCAATCCACCTCTGAGGTAGCTTCTCATTGAAGTTATGAACATACGAGTAGATATTAAGGAGAAGGATGAGGCAGAGTTTTCAAACTAGCGATACCACCTTAAAATGCTTTTGTATATAAGAGGAGTCTGTCTAAAATGCCTCCGAAACTCAAGCTGGGCGGTTATTAAAAATGAACTTGAGTCATAATAAAAAACAGAAAATGTGTTTTCTTGAATTGTAATCATTTAAAAAATGATGCGAACACGTCCAAGAAAAAGAACAAAACTGATTATTGAACATCTAATTATAAAACTTGGAAACGTGCTTTTTAAGCACATGTTTGAAATATTAATGTGGTACAAGAATTGGCTGAGATACATGCCATCAAAACCTGATGATTCTTTTATAAACGCCCTGTACTTACACTAGGCTAATAGTGTTTTTTTTTTGTGTTGATCAGAAACAAATTTAGGGTTAAGTTCTGTCAATGGGATGCCTTTACTTATGACTAATTTTGTTAAACCTTTACAAAATGAGCATAGAAATAATAACTGGGTAGGGTAGGGATGCTAATTTAGCGGTTTTGACCAAGAACTAAGTTTATCTCAACACACCATTTTTTGCCGTTTCTTATTTGACGAAGACAATTTCTAATACTGTATTTCAATCGGGGAAGCCTTTTTATCAGCATTAACCAAAAAACCAAAGGTACCTCAATAAACCAATATTTATTCATAAACATGTTTGCTGCCGTTAGCAGTTACACCTCTGGAGTCATTCAAATTCTTTATTGAAAATAACATCAACAAAAGCAAACAAAGACAAACAACAAACTGTTTTTTTTTACACAAAAGATATGTTGTACTGGGATATCTATCCTGACACATAGATAATTTGATTCTGAGTTTGTTTGAATATTACAATAATTTCATTTCCATTTGAGCTTTTTAGGGACTTATGTCCCTACAAGCCACTAGTATATAACTTATTTTCCAAATTATTCAACTTTATATGTTGATATATGTTTACAGATAGCAGATTGTCTGTGTGACTCAATATACCTGATGTCTCACTGTATTAACAGAGTAATGGATTTTGAAAAGTCCGTCGTTCAGGGCAGGATAGTCGTAAAAGAAGGGATCTCAGATGATTTGGACAAACGTAAGTATTTGGTCTTAAAATATGAATTTAAACCTTGTATCGTTGTTGAATAAGATTGGGGTGAGTGTGATCATGTACTTATATTATACTTACCATTGAACAAGTTGAAGGAATCTATAGGTAAGCTAGAACAAATGCTCTCCACTGCACAGGATTCTGGACCGTCTGCTTTATTTATCTCCAGCTACTGCCTTCTTCTTGTTCTTTTTCAAGTGATTTTCTGCAAGCCGTTTTTTTTCTTCCAATTTTTCTGCTTCCTTGCCGGTTCCAATCTAGAGTTTGCAGGCTAATTGTTTAAATTTTCTTAAGGTGTTGCTTATCCATCCGTATTTTCTTCTTTTATGATTTCAACTTGGTTTATTTCGGATATCCTCCATAACTCCTCATCTCCGACTGGATCTTGGATGTTAATAATTTGTTAGAGACATCTATTTATACAGTTTATAAGCAGAAAATCATATTTTGGTTGATTGACCATGTTAACCTGTTTCCCACCTAAGGATTGATATTTTAATTGATCTTTTCTATAAACATTTTACGTCATGTGCCTATTCATACATTTTATTTATTTCCTAGCCACAGAATTTCAATTAAGTAATGGAATTATAGGACCTAACCTAGAACTTTCACTGAGCCTTAAAAAAGTTGCGTTTTAATCTGCTGAGGTTTACGCCAGAGTTTAGGAGTGCTGCTGTCGCAATATTTTAATGTGAGGGCGGTAAAACACTTCTGAAAGCAGTGTTCTTAGATTCTGGTGTAGACTCTAGCAGCTTTAAATGCAAAGTTTTTTTTGCTCAGTGATATATTCCACGCACAGATCCGTAGTCTATGTGGGCATATGCAAGGTTAAAAGACCCTGCCAACTTCCTTAAAAAAAATAGTTTGCATGATAAGTAGGCCTAGCACTATCTTTTTAGCAATTTGTTATAAGAATCCCAAATGTCTCATGCTAAGGTGGGTTTTTATTTTTCAAGTAACAGAAAACCGATCTCGCTTGTGTACTCTGATGGACCAGCTGGCAGAGGTAGAACTGCAAGATTTGCCAGATTATGTAGAGTCTTGCTCCCTCAGCTATATCCCAGAGTCCGGATTTTTCCTGGCTGTTCCCCTCTGGCGTCCGGACCTTACAAATGAAGACTTGGAACTGCCTGACATGCATTTTCAGGTAAAATAGTTCTTACTTTAAAATTCAATGTTGATGGCTTTTTGCTATTTAACCCTTCATGGCCAAAACGCCAATATATCACCATACTGAGCTACCTTACTTTAGATCCAGGACCTACGTAGAACTACAAGAGGGTTTAGGATTGGCCAGTAATGAGGTAGATCAGGCTGACACATTCACTAACAGGTGGCAAGAGACCATCAGTGTACCTAATGTCTTGTAGCAAAAGTATTAATTGGTCTACGACATAAAAAATCTTGAGCTATGGGTTATGGTAAGGAGTCAGGACTGTAGACCAAGGAGTTTAAATTCTGACTCAAGTCATGGCTTGATGTGCAACTCATAAGAAATAAACTTGTCTGAGGCAGAGTTCCTCCTACAATGAACAATGGCTTGCTCAATTGATTCTAAGAAGATGAATTAACTCCTATCAAAGCACTCCTCATCAGGATTTTTGTTTTTAATTTGTTATTGATTCTTGCTGTTTCCAAGTTTCTCCAAGCTTTAATAACTTGTTTCCTGTATATGTTTGAATTTCATTCTTTTGAGTCTAGACTTATATTTTTCAATAATTTTATCTGAAATAATATAACAATAACAAATTATTTTAATTGATTAGATGCCAGTTACTGGTGTAAACTATTAATTTATAAAATGCTGAGCCAGTTTGCTTTGGTTGAAATGAAATAAAATTAAATGGTTCTAACTTGTCAATCTCTTTTTATTTATCTGTTATAAAAATACAGGATACAAGAGGTTAATGTGTTCCAAACTTTGTTTACCTACGACCGTTTTTAAACTAGTCGTTTCAGTTCAGTTCTTAGAATTGAAAAGATTCACTTAACAGTATTGCTTTACAACACAAGCAACGAATCAATGATGTTCAAAGATTGAGAAAAAAGAAGTAAAATTGTAATGCTTGGAACTTTAACTAATCAGCTGTTTACCAATTTAATTGTTTATGATTGGTGCAATTAATGGTTGGTAGAATGAGTCGTTCACTCACCAACCACGGACAACTCAAAAACCCACACTGGGGTGGGAGGTTGTTGCCACTGTCAGTGGGAATGAGAGGTTATAACCTAAAACATAACTTCTCAAAGAAGTTATGAGTAGTTATTGTTAGTACAGTCATAAAAAAAACGGCCGTAGGTAAAGTAGAGTACGCAACTCGCGTAATCTTAACAACACTCGTAGAAGTTTTTAAGGCACTTGTCTTTTTAAGACTCGTACCTTAAATTTCTACTCGTGTTGTTAACACTATCTTCACGCGATCGTTGCGTAAACTAATATTTATCAACAGTATATTATTAAATGGAATTTAATTTTCTCTCACTTTTCAGTTTATTAATGAAGACTCAGCCCACTACAAGAGTTCAAGATGTCATGGTAAGATATAAACTTGTTTGGTTGCTGTGCAATAACTATTCCATCTAAGCTTGTTCTGTTGATATGATAAATATCCAAGCCCAACCATCGTTTTCACCAATGAAATAAAATGTGGTTGTAGGTTTTAAGAAATACCAGGGAAGATCTTTTACATTTTACCCCCTCTGTCAGTTAAAAAAAAAATCAAACTGGTTGTAGGGTTGGGCTTAGAGGACACTGAGGCTGCTCTCCTGATGGTAGACTATATGCTACTACTTGGGAGCGACTTCAGTCCCTGAGGTCCCCAGTTCAAATCCTGCCAATCACTAATGGATTTTAGCTGTTTGATAATGTTACAACCCTTTAGGCCCAGCCTGGAATAATGTGTGAAATGGTTCTGAGCTAGGACCAAGTGTCCTAGGATGGATAAAAACTACATTCTAGTATCACTAACAATAATAATAACTTTGACTATAAAAACACCACTTTGTACCCACTATCATCGTCATGTTCACCACAATCTTTTCTTTTTATTTTAACTACACATTACATTTTCACAGTCAATTATACACTTGCAAGCATAATAAATTCTTTTCTTGGTTATCTTAACTCATAGGTACAAATTACTCAGTCTACGCAAATACATCCATGCTTATGTTGACTTTTATCTTTGTGTGAGTATTTTTAATCTCTCTCTCTCATTTCAATTATGATCAATTTGTCAGAAGAAACTTCTTATGTTCCTGTATTATTTTCCAGAGCTTGACAACATGTTGGGAGACTGGCTGATGCAAGGGATGGAGATAGAGTCGAAGATAATTTTGAAACTGGTGCAATACATCCAGCGCAACGTCGGGCCCTTAGTCAAACTGACTGCGCTCATCGCTGAACTCGATTGGTACATAGAGTGATAACAGCAAACTCGGCTTTATTATTTTGCCAACATAAAATTTAGTCTAAGAAGCTATTTTAGGCAGCTAAAAAGCTTTTATTGTTTTAAAAAGGTTAGTTTAAGCGACAATGAGACAAACGGAAAGTAAATAAAAGAAACGTCTTATAACACTTAAAACATATATTTACGCTTATACTGTTACTCACAAGACGGTAAATATACAAAACAGATGGTAAGTGGTGATCGATTTCGATTGGACACTCCAATCATCATCAGACCCAATAGGCGAATTCTTAGGCGAATCATTCGCCTATTGGGTCTGATGATGATTGGAGTGTCCAATCGAAATCGATCACCACTTACCATCTGTTTTGTATATTTACCGTCTTGTGAGTAACAGTATAAGCGTAAATATATGTTTTAAGTGTTATAAGACGTTTCTTTTATTTACTTTCTGTAAATTTAATAACACGTACAATGCTGATCAAGAAGTTATTTAATGAGACAAAGTGAAAATCAATCAACAAATTTGATTGGTCTGTAGAATCAACTAAGAAAACACACTGCTAGGTCACAAATAATTTTTGAAAACCCGTCAAAACAATCCAAGATTGGATTCAATGTTTTATTTATAAAGATTATTCCAGCCTCTCACAGTCACCATATTGACTGCCTATAAATTTCAAATATAGTCTTTTGGCACTGGCGAGAGCTGCCCGAGACTTTAACCTTGTCGAGCCTCAGGTGACCTCGGACAAGCAGATACACATCAAGAGAGGACGAAACATTCTACAGGAGCTGTGTGTGGAGATGTTTGTACCTAACGACACACACTCTAGCGTGGAGGACGGGCTCGTCAAAATACTCAACGGTCCTAACGCCAGCGGCAAAACTGTCTATCTCAAACAGGTAATTAGTAATCACCATCAAAATTGTTTTATAGTTGGGTAGCTGAGTGGTTATAGTGCTTACTTTGTGATCAAAGGTTGGCTGGTTCAATCCTGAGAATTGTCATTAGTTTTTATAATTGTTTGAAACTTAACCCAGCTAACCTTGATCATTGGTATAATAAATGGTCCTGGCTAGGAAGCAGCAGATCTTGGTCAGTATAAGGTACACAGTTTGTCTCACTCCGTTGTCATATTGCATTCATATTGTGCTCAACCAATTGGTGCCGACTTACGAGCGTTACTCGTACAGCTGCTGCAGGCTCGGCGGCTGACTTACGAGGGACGCTCGTGTCACCGCTAGGCAGCCACTAGTTAATTTTTTATTATTTTTCCCCCTTTTTGTTTCATCTTACTTTTATGATGTTTATAAATGTCTTGCTTCATGTTTTGCGTATTTACTCATTTATTTTGTGAATAACAAACAAGGTTGTGTTAACCCAGTGGAAACCAGATATCACCAAATATGTGACGTCAGTCTATTTTAATGTGACAAGCAGTCTATGGGTAGAAACCGGCCATCGCAAATGTGCGTTGCTGGTCAATATGAATATAAAATTTAGTACTATTGCAGTAGCCAACGTGTCTAATACCGCTAATAAATAGATGTGTACATTTTGTTTGCGTTATTGACCAAGGTTTTTGTATACAGGTTGCCCAGATCGTCTACTTGGCACAGGTGGGAAGCTACGTACCAGCTGAGAGTGCTACTGTAGGTGTTGTGGACCAGATCCATTCTAGGATACACCCTGTAGACGCTGTAGACTCACAACTGTCATCCTTCATGGTGGATCTCAGACAGGTAACCAACACAAAAAAATACAGGTGAAACACACAAAGTGTGAGGTTGTTTAATGTTAATGCATTGATTTCAAATTTTAAGAATGAGTAAATCTATTCATTTCTCAAATATCTAATCTAAGCCTATGGCCACATTGAGTTTTAGAAAACATTTACTTTTGAGGAAAATAAAAGGAGGTAACATTAAACGTTGTTCCTTTTGTTTCAAGCTTATGTACTTGAGAAAATATTTCACCTTTTTCACCCTACATTATAACATTGAATTGTATTTTGAAAATGACGTTTGTGATAGATACACTTGGTTCAATCGAAAATCTCAGGCTTGTATACTTCTTGTGGGAGGCATATTTTGCCGTCTTAAAATGTATTTGACAAAAAACATAAATTTTTAACAGATCACTCTAAATACATATTATTAATCCATTATTACCTTACAAACATTTTTTTCAGATGTCAATTGCTATCAGGAACTTTACGTCCAACTCACTGGTCATTATCGATGAGTTTGGGAAGGGCACTCCGGAGGTCAACGGCCTAGGGCTACTCGCGGCCTGTTTAGAATATTTTGTAGCCAAGAACCACGAATGTCCTCACCTCTTTGTGTCAACACATTTTCACTCTCTGGCTAATCTGCTTCCCCCATCAGATAACATCAAGCTTCAGGTAAGGTTAATTTGGTTATCCTTTGTTGAAAGTAGTAGCCTGTTCCTTGAATAGTTGTTTCCTTACTATCAGACCAGTATAATAACGGTAAAACTGTATTCAGACTAATACAAAGTCTGTTAGGTAGAATAAGTCATTGTAGAAAAAAATATTTGATTTTTCTCTTTGCAAGGCGGTAATTTGGAGACTGAAACTCTACAAAATGGCAGCTTTGAAGAATTAAATTAATTTTTAACTAGTTATATTCTCACGATTAGATGTGAGTAGAATCAAAAGATACAGACACCTTAGGCCTACCGCACACGAGAGACTTTTTGTCGGCCGACTATTTAGTCGTAGTCGGGAGTCAAAGTCGGCCCCATAGTGGTAAATCTGAGCGCGCACACGGGCCGACAGCAGCAAGACAGTCGGCAGACTGTCTTCAGACTGTCGGGGAGGTTTGGTGCTGACCGATTTTCCCGCCGACTGCTCCCCGACTCAACTGTCGTGTCTTATTGATAAAGGCACGGAGATAAGTTTGAGCGCGCACACTGACGACTAAAAAGTCTGTCTGTCTGGCAGTCGAGTGCGTTGTTATCATGTGTATTATTATTGTTATTGTGATAAGTATTGTTATTTGTGTGTTATTGTTACTATTATGGCTTCGACAACCACCAGTGCATGTGTTTTGAGGGACGAGAAAGTTGATAAACTTATCAATGAAGTTGAGGCACGGTCCCCTCCTTTATAATAAGGCGTTGAAAGAGTATTTGGTCATAATAAAAAAATAGCAACCTGCAGCAAACCTGCAGACTAAGTGAATTCCCATTTGCCTGATTTAATTTATTATTTAATCTATTTCAATAAAATTAGGATAAACGAGTACCTAGGTTTGCTGCTACAGGGAGGGTATTCAGGATGTGTTTTAGTAAAACATTAATAGCTGAGAATAAAATAAATAGATTTGCCAAGTTTTATCAAAATACATCCATAAACAAGCAAACTACAACAGTTTACTTGTTCTACATATAAATTACATGACAATTTTAACATTAAATATTTGGAATTTCCCTGTAACCATTATGATAACAATTAGCATGCTAAATTATTAGTTCTTCAAGCTCTGCAAAATGCTTTCTAAAGAAATTGCTGAATCTTTTGTTTTTATAGTAAAAAAATGGGAAACCCCCATTTTTACCCTATAAAACCCCCCATAAACCCCCGTTCCCAAAGTCATGCTGGTTTGCGAACTCATTCGAATAAAATACATGTAGATTTACACTTTTGTACAAAATTTCATCAAAATCGGATAATTTTGTTCGATCTTGCTAACGAACAAATATATACAGTATATATGTGTGCGTGTGTGTGTGAATTTGAACGGATAGTGTTTTTGAAACACTATGTGTGTATTTGAAGCTGGGGTAATCAACACTCATTCATGACCACATGAAAGATTTGTCCGGATATTTCCTCAAATCCGAGTATAGAGATAAATCTGGCCTTTCAAGGTTCTTGGACTATAAATTAGATGCACCCAGTATTTTCTCTTAAGTTTTCTTCCACGAAATCTTGTCAGTAACGCACATATGACAGCGGTTTCTGTCATATACATCCAAATCAGTTAAGTGGAAGACTGGACTCACTGATAAGATAATGATAAGTTTCTTTGTACACTGGCCACATGTACTGGATAAAGTGGCCAGTTAATTTCCAAGCAAATTTTGTATCCACTGTGTGTTTATATTGGAGGAAATAAATTCATTATTTCATTATTTGACACTCGAAAGACGACTAAACAGTCGTGTCGTGTGCGCACCCATAGTCAACGACCAAACAGTCTTGACGACATTTCGATTGTCCCCCCGACTCCAGCCAGACAGATGGCCAACAGTCGGCCGACAAAAAGTCTCTCGTGTGCGGTAGGCCTTAATGGATAAGAATCTATATATTTAATACGCTAGGCATATTTTTGTCATAATTGTTTTGGAGCAGTGGTGCTACCGAGCACCATGTCCAAGGTGTCATTAGAAAGGTCTTAGCATGCGGTTTTGCCATAAAAAAAACTTTGGAATTCCATCAGGGCTCTGCCCCAGTGGCTTTCAAAGTTCCCATGTTATTCTTATGGAGTAAATGTTTGTTTACATTTGAACAGATGAATACTTTGAAATTGACACTAATATTTGAAACAGCTGGTTATACTAAAATTGGAGTCATGAGCTATAAGGATTTATAAGATTAGTTGAAAAGATTGATTGTAAAAAATCAAAACATAACCAAAAAATCGTTCCGACATAATGGAGACTATAAGACTTCGAACAGGAAGGCCAATAGGAGGCCGAAGAACTTTAACTGGTATCAAAATTCATGTTTTCGGCCCCTGGACTATATTGTTAAGACAATAATAGGTTTTTTACATACCTCAGTCAAATAGTCCAAAAATGGTATTGCTCAACAGCTTACATGTTTCGTTGCGAAGACAACATTATCAAAGCTTGCAACTCGTCAAAAACACATTTAAAACACGAACACGAACACAGAAGACATTAATACGGTACGAATACACAATTGACATTTAGATAGCGCTATCATAATACTGATTTGGTCCGGCGCGGCGCGGGGCTGCTACCAGCCCCGCGCCGCGCCGGACCAAATCAGTATTATGATAGCGCTATCTAAATGTCAATTGTGTATTCGTACCGTATTAATGTCTTCTGTGTTCGTGTTCGTGTTTTAAATGTGTTTTTGACGAGTTGCAAGCTTTGATAATGTTGTCTTCGCAACGAAACATGTAAGCTGTTGAGCAATACCATTTTTGGACTATTTGACTGAGGTATGTAAAAAACCTATTATTGTTTTAACTGGTAGACGCGAACTAAATACAAATAATACTATTATAAGATTAGTTGAAAAGATTAATTGTACAAAATCAAAACATAACCAAAAAAAGTTCGACACAATGGAGACTATAAGACTTCGAACAGGACGGCCAATAAGAGGCCCACGAACTTTAACTGGTAGACGCGAACTAAATACAAAATAAATTTATTTGATTTGATTTGATTGTCGTTGATAGCCGAATACAGCAAGCACCCTTCCGTTTTGGGTTTAAGTGTGTTCTCCAACAGCCGCATGAAGATTTCACATTCAATTTAGGACTGTTGGATAATCGCTGCATAAGCTGTTGATTTTGGAAGACAAGGAGGCGGGTAGGACTACATCGGAAACAGAAGAGAGGAGATATTAGATGAGTGGCAAATGCGTTGGGAGCAGAGTGTTTTATGTTAACCTTTTAAAGGTAAACGTTGGGATATATACCTAACATCAGAAAGAGACTAGAACAAGATTGGAAGATGGGCCATTATGAAACGCAGTTTGTCACAGGACATGGAAATTTTCAAGGTGAATTTCACCTGGTGGAAGAGGAAGTATGTAGATGTGGAGAAATAAAAACCACGAGTCATGTATTTATGAATTTTTTACTTCAGGAGACAAATAGGATTTAAAAAAACGCCTGTAATACTTAGCAATTGCTCGAATTCGAGCAACAGGTACACTAGTGTTTTTATTCATATGTTGATACAGCCTTTGATTAGCACATGTTCTCTGTAATTCTTCATTGTACTGAACTGTGAGAAGAGCATGCAATGGGTTTTAAATACTTTAAAATTTGAAAAATATTTGGTTACAAGAAGGGTTAAAATTCCATAGTTTATTTGGTTATTGGTCTTAAGAAAATAAGGATACACTGATGGTACTTTTCTAAAAAGAAAAAACTGCTGGTACAAAGAACTAAATAAGTGCATTGATATTGGCTTATTGTGATATTTTCAGACCGTAAAATCAGCTGAATAGTTGCTTTATTAAAAAGCATTGACTAGTTGCTATCAATTTTCATGGCACTGCGTTCTCCCTAGTTGTGTTCCTTTTCTGTGAAGTTTGTGTTTGTGAAAGATCTTTGATTTTCGAGCCAAGCCAAGTCTAGCCTAAAAGCTGAGTGGTCGAGCACCAAATCATAAAAAATTGCTGTGCCAAGATTTTATTCTTGTGATAGCAGAAAGTGTCTGCGCGTAATTGCGCAATTGAAAATGTATGAAGTCTCTAGAATTTTGGATTGTGGTAATATTATGTATATGGCTGTACACTTCAAATTACATTTTCCTTATTTCCCGGATTGCAATATAGTAATTGGGCACTTTCACTAACCCAGCACTAATTAGTTACCACATTATGGGGCCGGACTGGTGAGAGTTCACTGTAGTTTGTATTTTCTCTTTGTTGCAGCATCTAGAGCACATGTTGGACAAAGGAGAGCTGGTGTTCCTGTACAGACTGCGCGATGGGGTGGTGGGGGAGAGCTTTGCACTGAGGGTGGCACAGAATCACGTATTGACACGTCCATGGGCCGACAGAGCTGCTCAGGTGAACACTAATGGCAGAGTGAAAATAGTTTCACCATTATTTTCAACCACTCTAGCACAATGTCATTGTGTTGATTGAATTGGTATAAATAGGAAAACACAAATGTATCAACTAAACGTGCTCTGGAGCCAGAAAATCTTCTTTTAGCCATAATGTGAAGTGTACTATTCAGAGATATATAGTCATATATGCAACTAGTTATAGTGTGGTGGTTGCTGCCAATCTGAACTAATTTGGTACCAAATTGTTTTGATTGGCCGGAAATCGTTTAAAATAATCACAATGATATATTCTTATCACAGAAATACAACACCAATTACAAAAACAATGTGATTTTCTCATACAATCATGACCAGATCGTAACAATTTCTGCACACACTGTGATCATCTTCCACAATCTTAATAATATCCGCGTAAATCTATTGTGATCACGGCAACACTTGTTCTTCTTACGACAATGTTACAATCTGATAAGAGAACCAGCAAAACCCTGTTATGGGTGCTTGGTCATATAGTCATTAAAATTTCCCTGTTCCATACAAAATTCACAGATTTTCCCCAGTCATAAAAATTCATGCACGATTCCTGGTTTTTCTCAGTTCTCAGGCTGGACACCTTGGTTCGTACAGTAACCTTTTACTCCAACAGGTGGTTTGTACAGTAACCTCTTGCTCCAACAAGTGGTTTGTACAGTAACCTTTTGCTCCAACAGGTGGTTCGTACAGTAACCTTTTTCTCCAACAGGTGGTTTGTACAGTAACCTTTTCTCCAGCAGGTGGTTCGTACGGTAACCTTTTGCTTTAACAGGTGGTTCGTACAGTTACCATTTGCTCCAACAGATGGTTTGTATTAGTGGGGTTTCGTTCAGCAGAACTACAGTGCACTTGTTTAGCAGCAGTAAGTTACATCCATCTTAAGAAGGGGTGAAAATGTAGTAGGAGCTTAATAATTTATGTTCTTTTCGAATGATGGGGTTGAATTTTTTGTCTGTAAATTAATAAAGTAGTTTTTTTTTTCGTTATGATAAACAGTGAGTAAACTGTAATCATTTAATGTTAAATCACCTTGACACTCTTAAGCAAGTACTTTTTCTCATGTAAGGTTCTTGAAGCTCACATAGACATGGTGATCAAGTATAATAAAATGTATAGATTTTAAATATCATCAAAATGATATTGTTTCGTTTTTTTTTTTTTTCTAACAGATTCTGCATACACTGAAGAACTCTGGTAGTTTTACCGCAGACAGTGACAACAGACTAACTCGAATGGCAGCTAAGTATGATTTTCCAATGTTTTATATACATATATTTTTTTTATATATTTAACCTAATTTGTATATTGTGACGGGTGGATATTAAAATCCGTTATCAAAATATAATTTAATGGTAAAGTAAATAATAATAAGATATTTAATATTAATTTTCATACTTGTTGCAATGAGGGGGAAATGGATTAATTAACGATTAAAAAATGTGTAGGAAATTTTTAAGATAATCTAGAATGGCGTATACCGGATGTCCCATAATATTGGGTGACATCATCTCAATTAAAAAATGTGTAGGAAATTTTTAAGATAATCAAGAATGGCGTATACCGGATGACCCATAATAGTGGGTGACATCATCACAGCCATGAAAAAATAAAAGTGATGGAATGTCAAGTTTCAGATAAATTAATGTATACAATTTCTTGTCATCACTTTTAGAAATTTTGTCATATCAAAGTCAGATTTGTGGCATTAATTTTCTTTTTTAAATGATGTGCTACTTTATAAGGGTTGCCAATTGAAAATTTTAAGTTACCCCCAGCACTTAAGTGCTTTTAAGTTATACTATTTGGGATGGGGAGTGAATTTCAAAATACCACCAAAAAGTACATTACTTTACTCTAGTAACGTCAATGGAAGCTTGTTTGAATTTATGCTGCCGTTCACAAGTTAACCAGGCGTGGACTATTATGGGACACCCGGTACATAATTCTGATCTACTTTGTGATCTTTTGAACTATCACGGAAACATTGTTATTAGGAGGAGTAAGTTCCTGAAAGACTTCAGTAAGGCAGAGTTAACCGAGGAGAAACTGAGTGAACTGAAGAAAGAACTGGTCGGTCTTCGCCTTTAAACACACCAATAAAGAAACCAGACCTTCTATATGAGATGACTTTTTTCGAAAGTGATTTTTTTCTTTGTAATTTTACACATTTGGTGTGTATGGTTTAGCAGTGTATTGATTTAGTGGTTTTGTCTGAATTTAAAGTACTCTGTTCAGAATCCATCTAATTTTTTATGGAGTGTCTTTTTTTATAATCTATATTTTTAACGAGTGCATCAAGTTCAAAGCTAGACTCTCAGAAAGTGAATTACTTTAAGGGCAAAACGTCTGACAGTGATTTAATTTGTTTGAAATGTAATTGTGTACCTGTAGTATGAGTTCTCCAAAGTCAAGTTGTTTTAAATCTAATGCACTGAGATGATAGGAATGTGTATTTTGCAGACAATGTTAACATTGGTTAAATAATAAATAGCATAATGATTCAAACATTTTATTACATAAAACAATGTACAATAAAAATGTAAATAAGATTGTGATCCATCTAGTCTATAAGCTATAAAATATGCAATTTGTTCTTAAATAAAGCGTTTGCCATCAATAATTGTTAAAATATTTTTCTCATTTACTTCCTGCACACAGTTACAGTATAATAAATTTTACAATAAAATTTTCTTACATTGTGTTTCACATGCAAAAGGGTTCTTGACTGATCAAGAAACAGTTTTACAACTAGGTTTTCAATCAGGAGTCTACAGGATTTAAAACCGTTTTAACCATTCTGAATTCTTATTTTCAGTAGCATGAACAGACAGCAACAATTTAAAATGTACACATTAAAACATGAATACTACATGCATTTTTACAAAGTGGCATAGTTACTGATTATCAAAAATAGGATACTCATTCAAACATAAAAGATCATATAGTTTTGTTACAAATACAAGCTAATATGTAAAAAATTAAAAATTATAACTACATAAATGCAATGTACTCATTTCCACTGACACTTTAATGTAGGGTTTGACAGTTAAAATGAAGCTTGTTGGAGGATACTATATTATAAATAATTGGGTAAAGATGTAAAACGTAAAGTTCACTCGGACTTGACAGCTGAGTTCTAGAGCTTCTGCCATCAAAAAAGCAAAGATAAATCTCAGATGGTAACTGAAGCAATCCTGATTGTGATTTTTACTCAAAATTGTGCCGAAAGAATCCTCATCACAGAGAATCACAATTATTTGTTCAATTGGTGGAAATATATCTTTAGGTGGAATTCTAACAGCCAGATCAAAGTTGATAATCACAAAGTTTTGGCGAGTCAAAATTTGGATTAAAGAGCAGTACTTTTTCACTTCATTTGTCTTTACCAGCGGAGTTCTTTTTGAAAATTCAGCTACACTGAAGTAATGTTTGCAGAAGATTAAAAAAAAAAAAAAACCTGTAGAAGGTTAAAAAAGTAGTTGCATATGCAGTAGTTTAAGTTTCCACTATTATCAGAGTATTGAGTCCCAATTCACATTATGGCAAACATATGTATATTAGGCTAAACGATATTTTAATATCTGGCTGTTAATAGTAAGACTCTTTCTGCCAGTGGGAAATAAGGTAGTGGCTATAAATTTCACATCCCATTGTTGTATAACCGATAGGACTTGGGCCAATTAAAAAGTTATTTGACAGACTAATTAATTGTAATTTAACACATCCTATTTTGATTTTAACTCTCACTATCTTATTTAGAATAAGAAACCACTCAAAAATGTACATCTATACAGTTTGATATAAGTACAAATATAATAAATGCTATTTAATATTGGATAAAATTTCAAAATTGGGTGGGATAAAATTGCAGTACACCACAAGGTTATTATCCTGGAACACTTAACATGTATGACTTATTGGTATGCAATGGTATGGGTTGCCTATACAACAAGCAGGTACGATATATACGGTGACGAGGAACATTTTATGTGGAAGTGACGCCCTTTCTAGCCACGAGCAAATTTAGGATCGGGTGTTTCTTGATGTAGTCTACTGCCTTTTTATGAGTCACCATAGTAAAATCATAGCCGTTACACTGGAAATTGATCAAATACATTTTATTAGTAAAGGTGTTTGTAACGATATACAATTAGACTTCAATAAATTAGGCAATGTTATATGGTTTTGAATCACAATTGGGCCTACATAAAATTAGATGTGCAGAAATTTGGAATAGAGAGTGAATGGAGTAGGATTCAGGCAGGGAAATTAAGTTTGTAAGAGGTATTAAAGGGGTATCAAGATTGGATAGAATTAAGAATGAAGAGTTGAGAAGAGGAATAGTTGAAGAAAGTTTGAGAGAACGAGTAGATAAATCGAGATTGAGATGATTCGGCCACTTAAGAAGAATGGAAAATTATAGAATTCCTGAATGAAGAAGACCAAGAGGATGACCTAGAAGAAGGTGGATTGACAAGGTGAGAGATGTGGAAGCAAGAGTGCAGTGGCAGTATGTGGAGGAAGAGGAATTGTGGAGGGACTGTAGAAGATGAAGAGGCCTAGTGAACACCCAGACCTGGAAACTGGAACGATGGAGAATATGTATGTATGTAATATAAGATATGTGAGAGATAGTTGTATTAAGTTTGAAGAATATAGCCGAGCGAATGCTGAGATGCAGGTGACACAACGCACGCAAGCAAAACTTTGCTTGTTTGTAGGTGAAACTTCACCTACAGGTCTTTGGAGTTTTCTCCGCAATTGTTAAGCTTACAAAAAAAATCAAGCATTTACAGAACATGTTTTAAGCTATACAAACTGGTTGAGAATCTTAAAAATAAAAAATAACGGACCAACTCAATCACAAAGGCACATACCTTGTGTCTGAGTAATTTTACAAGTGGCGTAAAATCTTTGTCTTTGCTACAAAATGTATCATGCGTGTTCCAGACAAATACACGCGTGTGCCCCAGCTTACGTGGCTTTGTAAAAAAACATGAGGACACAAGTTTTCTGCCGCTTGTTGCGTTGCGTAGCCTGTGTCTTAGCCAACGACCGGCCTTTAGCTCAGCTTTCTTACATACTTTTCGGGCATTAATTGTTAGCTCAATTAGAATTTTTTTGGCCATACTCCTTTCCAATTATATTTCCTAATTAATTGTTTCTCTTATGTTTAAAATAATTCCTACAAACTTATCCTAATATAAGTTATTTAATTTTAAACAAATACTAGTAAAAGATATTTGATGAAAAACTACAAAAATTCATACATAAGAAGACACTCTTCATGAAAATGGATCTCATCTAGAAATGAGAAAGAAAAGTTCAGCATAAGTTTAGGACTCTTACCTGTAGTATTTTATCGTGCATCCGCAAACCAGATTTTGATGCTGGGCTCCCTTCATGTACCTCTGTTACGTATATACCCTGGAAATATGAAATAATTAACAATCTAAACTAAGCCGGCCGTAGCAAGATCAGATAACACGGAAAATAGTCAAACAAATTGAAAACATGTTGAGAATCATAAAATCAATAATATTTCTTTGGTTTTAAACCTACTTGAGGTTCTAAACTTGTCTTTTGTTAAAACTACTTCCCTTTTCTTGGGTATTTCTGCTATTCTATCGGTAAAGCAGTACAAACCCATATACAACCCCTATTTTTGAGGCGAGGAATCTTATGGAACCATCGCCGCCCCCACGACCCCCCCTTTTTACTTTCAAGAGGGGAAATGCCTCCCAAATAAAATATATATGTATTTTTTTCATTTACGTTGATTTATTATGTTATCCTCCATAATTACAGTCATGTGCAAGTACCTAAGGCTTGATGGCCATTTTCCAAGTATAGTCAGAGGAAGCAAAGCAGTCGTATCGACGGACAGGCTGCATAGAAGGCCTACTGTGACAACACATGGATATAGTATGTGATTTCATGGTACTCAATCATCCACAGAGTCGGATAGGTAACACCAAAGGTTGGGTAACCAAATATCAGAAAATTAAGATCTTATTGTAATAAGGATTTAAATAACATCTTGATCAGCATTGTACACGTGTTATTAAATTTACGGAAAGTAAATAAAAGAAACGTCTTATAACACTTAAAACATAAATTTATGCTTATACTGTTACTCACAAGACGGTAAATATACAAAAAAGATGGTAAGTGGTGATCAATTTCGATTGGACACTCCAATCATCATCAGACCCGATTAGCAAATGTTGTGAAGAAGATTCGCTTATTGGGTCTGATGATGATTGGAGTGTCCAATCGAAATTAATCACCACTTACCATCTTTTTTGTATATTTACCGTCTTGTGAGTAACAGTATAAGCGTAAATATATGTTTTAAGTGTTATAAGACGTTTCTTTTATTTACTTTCCGTAATAAGGATTTGAAAACCATATTGTGTTCAATTTGATTATATCATACTGGATCATAATTGCATTATAAATTTAAAATATTGAGGTTCCATTCAAACTAGTGCCATGCACATTGCACAAACTGCGGAAGATTATCCTGGCAATCTGGCATAACAACTATTAATGAAAGGAATCATACGCACAAACCGTATTCATTCATGCAAAACTCCACAGTCAACTTACGTCCCAGCAAAAATCATATGAGGATTTGTTTGAATTTGGAAAATGTACCGTGAGTTGAACTTGAACTTTAAATACTTTGTTATCACTAGGCCTATTGATCATGCACATTCAAGCTAATCTCATGAAAATGAGTATTAATATTCCTTGAGTGAACTGTTAAACGAAACTGTCAACTTACGTTATCTGTATAGCCTTGTGGACTTTTTCTGTAATCTTGGTCTATTCCACCTCCAATTTTGAAGCCACATTTTAAGACTTCTCTGCCTTCATGATCGACACCAGCTTCCTTTTGTAAAGTGATTGGAATCTAAAATAACACAGAAAGTCATAAAGATTTAACAAAATAATTAACGTAAATCATTAAATGAGTAGCCTATTAACTTAGCCTACTGTATAACTTACCGTATTAAGTTAGTTAAACTAACTTAGCATATTAAACGCAGTCTATCCCAAAACATGTTGACCACATAAAATATCTAAGTTAGGCCAATTTGACGAGGTAAGTTAATCAAATTACTATCACAACAACAACAACAAACCTGTTTTTAGTAAAACTTTATTAGCCAAAGAGCAAGATAACCAAAGTAAAATATTGAAGAGTAAGTAACTGGCAGTTGAATTTTACGTCGGGTCCGGACTAACCTTATAATAGTTTAGCCTACTTATAATTATCTAAGGTTACTTATACTAATAATAGGGTCTAACCTAGACCTAATAACAAGTTACTTTCATTCGTACAACATAGCTTACAGCCTACAGGGCCCTTAGAGTACCACTGTCATTATCAAAAACATGTAAATCTGACAGATTATTAAAAAAATACAATCTGATTTATTGTGTAGAACACAAACAACAGCATATCACTGTAAGTTACTTACGCTGAGACATTCCATAGCCGTTCCGGCTTGGTGCTGAAATGCCATTTTAGCACACATTTCATAACCTTTTTAGAGAACTTTTTAAGAGGAATAAATGACCTAGGCCTATAAAAATATTCTTTTCAAGAAAACAGTTCCAGGTAGGCCTAGCAATCACACAATCATCTGGCACTCCCTAACAAAATTATTAATAACAAAACTGATTTGTATTGAAAAGGATATTTGAGTTTAATCAAAGCAGTTGAATGCAAATACTATCCGGCAAATAATATTCGCGGACCTAATTTATAACTATATGCAATTTAATTAAATGTGGAACACCCTAAACACTGATGATAGGAGGTAGTTTAGTTTAGAGGTTGTGTTGTGACGTTTCGAGTTTACAGAATGGAAATGGAACAGCAGTCCTTCTTCTTCTTGCCAGGCGTGTCACAGCAGTTCTTGGGGTATCTTCTAGATATTGTCATAGATTAAGATATTATCATACCTTATTTTTATATTGTTTATGAGATCCAACAAAATTTTATTATTAGAGTCAGTTTATGCGTTTATACGAGTTACATTGTGCCGTGCGCGTCACTTTTATATATATATATATATACTCACGCTAAAAAGGTTGATGTTAGATAGTGCCAAGACCAGGGTTTGGACCGTTCCCTTTAAAAACCGTTAAGAAATGCCATTAAGTTACCGTAAAATAACACGCCCAGTCCAAGTCCAAGCCCCTTGATGACATTACCGATTATATATCTTCTTTGGAAATTTTTAACAAGCTACCTAGCCCTATCAAGCATCTTGAGAGGTGAAGCAATTTTATTTTTTTAAGAAGCTGGCCCCTCTCCTCAAATACAAGGATTATTTTGCTTTGACGACACATTTTCCGCATGTTCTTACTGGTCCACCTATCCTCATGCCAAAGTTCGAAAATGTATGTTTTTTTTATTTGTGTCAGTTTTTTTAAAACTTATATCTGTAAATTGAAATTAGGACACTATCAAACAAATAAATTGGTTTTTTGTAGAGATGGTAATGACAATTATGGCATGTAACGGTTCGATATCACGATTATCAAATTGGTCGTTTTTGTACTTAATTCTGGTTGGCTTACACTATATAGCAATATTGTTCCATTGGCAAAAGTGTAGTTCTGTTGTGTAATTAATAATAATGTAGCAAATTAAGAATAAAAGTAGTTATTTTTAATCACGGCCACCTTTAACTCCAGGCCTCAGCCTGGTAGAATTGGCAACGTTGCAAGTAGTGTTGCCTAGTGCCAGACGTCCCATAAGATAACATTGCAGACAGGGGACACTAGCTCATTCATTCGTGTGTTGTTAATTTTAATTTTAATTTATGAACATAAATTTATTAAAAGATTGAAAATAAAACATATACTGTATAATTGAAGGCCAAAACAGTATTTTTATTGAAAATCTATTTTTGTACATTTAAAGTGAAGTCAATATTTTTATAGACCAGTAACCAAGCTTTATTATGCATAAAACATACACAAATAATACCATTAGCTGCCTCCAAACAAAACGGCTTTTACAACCCTACTTGCGATGTTGCCACTTCGAAGGCCACAGTCTGGAGTTAAAGCATAAAGGTGGCCGTGTTTTTAACAGTTCTATGAGTATACCATAAAACTACATGACATTTTAGCCAACCTACCTACAGATAGCACTATATTTGTAATTGTAAATAGCTAGCAGCACATGGAACAGAAAAATGTAGAAGGAGAGGAGAAGTCGGGGAAAAGAAAGCAAGAGGAAAAACAGGAAAGTAAACAAACTCTCGGTCTTATCTTAACCTTTCAATTCAATTTATTTCATTACTTTATCACATAAACTTTTTTCACAATTTAAAAGCATTCATATTATATTGGAAAATTCGTCATAATACATGTTGGTAGGTATTTACGAACTAATTTATTTACTTGAAAATGAAAGTATGTTAATCTCTTGTTGCTGTAGGCCTAGGCAGCCTACCTAGCTTTAGCCAAAGGCCCATTAAGTTACTGGCCCAGTAATGGGGATGCTCAATGTTTAAACTGTAATGCAATGTCCTCTACTCAGTTCATTAGTTTATAAGTTAGCCTAACAGCCCTTGAATGTTAGGACTGAATAAAATCTGTTTTGCGTTCAGAATTACTGCTACAATACAATAGTAAGTAAAGTATCTAACATAGGCCTAGTTCTGTAAAACGCCACCAACCGAAACAATGAGGGTGAGGTCATTACTGGTACTGGTAACCTACCATGTATTCTGTCTTGTTTTGTTTGTCAACCTATTTATTAAGTTACACCTGTGTCATTTTTCAAAGAGTTGCAGAGAATAAACACAAAAGCTTATTGAGATCATTCACAGTTTGAGATCATGTGAATTGTTTCAGGCTGCAGTTTGAAACTTAATTGCTGTAACTAACAACACAATGTCTGCAAGTCAAGCAGCAAAAACCATCTTACTTATGGGTAAATGTCTTCCTACTGCCAAAGAAAATGCAGTGAAAGTTGCAATCAGCAGATTTGAACTGAATAAATACCTCAATATTGTAAGTATTTTGTGAGTTAAAAATTCTTAAGAGTATCAATAATCCTAGATGCCTTATACAGTAGACTCTCGCTCATCCGGACTAATGTGGCGGACGTCCGGTCTGGATTACAAAAAATCCGGACTATCGAGAGTTGACTGTATATCAATTTTGTTCCAGGTCCACAGTATTGATAGCCATGCAAATGCAGTTCCACCTTAAATCGATAAATTGATTTTTGGTACTAGTTGGTAGAGAAATGTCTTCTTATTTAACATAATAAATCACTTATTATTAAAGTACTGTAATAATAAACCATACTCTCCAGTTCTATACAATTTTTGTCTAATTATAACCTATGATTTTTACCGCTGTGTTATCAGAGTTTTTGATTAGGCCTATCCGAGGTAGTCTCGGTCCCGTATAGCTTGGATAATTGGAATTCTACTGTATACTGTGCCACTAAAAAAAATCACAATTGCCAATCCGGATTAGCAGGAGTCCGGACAAGGCCGATCCAGATGAGCGAGAGTCTACTGTATATAGTTTCTCAATACAAATAAGACAAATACTTGTTACCTGTAGGCCTACTCTATACTCAGAAGGTACGGTACTCAAAGATCAACTCACCGTAAGGTAGGCTATGGTATGACTAACAGTTTAACATGTTCGCTCTGACAAAATCTTCTGCGGTTTTTAAAGTTTTTAAGAAGTGTACCACTGGTGGTGAGCACAGTGGTCCCTAAAACTCTGAAATGTACCACCGGTATAGACAATAGACAATATTCTTTATTTACATATTCGTAGAGATACCGTAGGCCTATTCTTTTTTGTGGCGATTACACAATACAAAACAGTATTATGGAGTTTCTGTGGTAGCTTACAATGAAATACATTTGTGTTTCAATTCTATAGCAAAGCACCGTGTTACCGAATAATTGTTATTATTTATCATAACACATCAGACTGTTTTAAGTAGCCTATGTAAAATTAAATGAAAACTCGTTCAAATCAGGCTTCCAAAACAGCAAACACAACCAAACACCTTGGCCGTATGCATCACTGTCTGAATCTGTTTCTTTTTGGCTCTGGAAGCCCAATCATTAGCTAGTTGTTTGCCAGATTATCTCTAGAGTTGCTACTCAAGCAAAAGTCATTTAGAACTTCATGATGTACTGTTTTACCGAGGTCACAGGTGGTGCACATCGAAAAGCTGTTATATATATATACAACAGGTAGATGTGTACCATGTCCAGGTAGGTCCTGGTAGATATGGTCCATGGTTTTTATTGGCATAATTCAAATATAATTTGTACCATTTTTATGTAGGATAAGTAAGTAGTGTATGTTGAGTTTAAAATAGATTGGTTTACATCCATTTTGTTATTCTTAAGTCTGTAGTTATTTTAGTACACATATTGACTTTTGATTGAAATTAAATCTGTGCGCCACCGGTGTACACTTTGGAGCAAACGTGCTAACACTATATTTACCATATTTTACCAGAATCAACAATACCGTATTGTATTCCTTTGTTTCAGTATTTCAAAAATGTTGAACTTGTTTATGCTCAAGATACTAACAAAGTAAGTAAAGTAGGAGATATTGTCTTGCTGGAGAAGTTACCAGAAAAGATAACAACAATGATACAACATAGAGTCAAGAAAGTTGTATTCCCTCTTGGAGACGTTACTGATCCAATCACAGGCAAGAAGGTGGTCTTCGACCAATACAGGTGAGCCGATCAAGCTGTGAACCTATTATATACGGAACTAAGCATAGACAATAACTTAGACTTATTGATTACCGCACTGATCATAGTAGACTGAGACTGAGGGTTGAGCAGTGGCCGCTGACATCACATGTTGACACTGTTGACAGTGCAGCCACCACACACATAATTACCTATCTCTAGCGAGTTAGTTCATATATGACAGAACCTATGAAAACTGCTTAGATACATTGCCAGCTAAACACTGCAATGTATTAAACAAAATAATATAAAAGGACATACTTTTGACCATAGCTTAAAAGTAGACATCCCATTTCCTTGATAAGGCTTTTGCATAGGGATGAAAATAAACGCAAATGAGTTAGCTGCACCTAAACACCACAGAGTGTGGGCTAGCTATTGTTGATTTGTGTCGTACACACTAACTTTTTAACCGTGTCAAACTAAATGAACAACTTTATGCTACAGCAACTTTTCACTCCATATCAACTAGACTTGAAACCTAAGGGAGAACATATCATTTTGACAATAGAAAAACTGCAAGAAAATCATTCAACTATAATATAGTTAAAATAGTTACGGAAAGTAAATAAAAGAAACGTCTTATAACACTTAAAACATATATTTACGCTTATACTGTTACTCACAAGACGGTAAATATACAAAATACCCCCGCCGCAGCAAACCTGCCGACTAAGCGAATTTCCATTTGTCTGAATTGATTTTCAATTAAATATATTTTAATAACATTAGGTTTGACGAGTACCTAGGTTTGCTGCTACAAGAAACCTAATAAAGTGTGTTTTTGAGTAAAATATTGATAGCTTAGTACAAAATAAATAAATTTGCCAAGTTTGATCAAAATATATCCATAAACAAGCAAATTACAACATTTGACAATATTCTCCATAAGAATAACATGGGAATTTTAAATTTACAATTTTTTAAATTTTCTCCGTTACTAATAATCGAACAAAAATACTTTTATATACTAAATTATTTGTTTTTTAAGGTCTTTAAAAAGGTCTAAAAAGAAATTGGGAAATTTTGTGTTTTGAGGGTCAAAAGTGAGAAAAACCAATTTTTACCCCATAAAACCCCCCCTAAAGCCCCGTTCCCATGGTCCGATCATGCTGGTTCGCGAACTCATTCAAGTTTATCTCGCTTTACACCTTTAAACCAAATTTCATCAAAATCGGACCAAAATTACTCAAGTTATCGCGTTCACGGACGTATATATATATATATAAATCTATATATATATATATATATATACATATATAAAAATTTGAACGAATGGTGTTTTTGGCCTCTGGGGACATCAAAATGAAAAAATAAATCGGTCCCAGGTCTAGGTCTTACCGTGCCACCTACGGTAATAGCTACTTCCCTATAGGGAAATTCGCTAAAAGATGGTAAGTGGTGATCGATTTCGATTGGACACTCCAATTATCATCAGACCCATTCGCCTATTGGGTCTGATGATGATTGGAGTGGCCAATTGAAATCGATCATCACTTACCATCTTTTTTGTATATTTACCGTCTTGTGAGTAACAGTATAAGCGTTAAATATATGTGTTAAGTGTTATAAGACAATTCTTTTATTTACTTTCCGTAAATTTAATAACACGTACACAATGCTGATCAAGAAGTTATTTAAAATAGTTATAAACTATAGAGGATATCATCCTCTTTGAGCAAAAATTCTGGCTACAGCTGGTCCACATAAATGGGACGTTTACTTAAGCATCCATAGTCTCTATCCCATTACCAAAGAGCACCTTTTTTACAGTTGATTTTTTTATTATGTGGTATTTAGTGGATGGAGTTTTCCATTGCAGAGAAAAATATGTTGCCTGAAAGACCAATTCTTCATTTCTCCTATTTTTTAACAACATGTTAAGTTATGGTAATAGCCTTATGGTCGGTTTAGCTTAAAGCCGTTGATGATCGATTGGCGAGATTGAAAACAAAACCTTTAGGACAAAAGCACCAGTACCACATTTGAACCGCTGCAGATGATTTAATCACGGCTATAATGTAACGTTAGTATTTTTTTAGTAGAAATGCTTAACCCTTTGAGTTGCTAGGCCATCAATTCGTATTTTTATTTTGTAAGACTTTTTTTGCCTTTTAGCTGTTCTTGAATTGAAACTGCGTTGTTCTCACTATTTTATTAATCAGCCTAATTTGGAATACCTAATAGACAGTCAATAACAAATAAACAAAGCAAAGTCTTGGTATTTGCAGTAAACATTAAATGACACTGTGTTTTTTGTTGTTTAAGTTTTCTTATAAATTGTAATGCTTATAGCATTATTTGAAACTAAAATCTCATAAAATCAAAAGGCATCTTGTTTACAACGTAATATTGAATTAAAACTTGATTTATTTTGATAAGGTTATTAATAGACTTTTTAGGAAAACCCTGTTTGTTAGTAAAGCCTCAGTAACACAATTTATAATCACTGTCGTGGTTCAGCTGAAAAAAATCATCAAAACAGTCTTGACTAACTAGTCCCGCTACAGAGTAACGCATTGAACAACTAAGTTGTAGTGCCATCGGTAGCGCTATCTATTAGCGCTTGTTGAGGTCAGCTCAAATACCAGTTTTTACTCCATATTCTCCAAGCAAAGATAGCCAAGAAGGCTAGGTCATGTGTCACTTGGCCAGTGGCATTCACTTGTTCGGGTTCCATTCCCGTCCTGTGTGGCAAATAATTGTTGCTTGTGTGTTTGTAGCAATATACTACAACCACTGGGGCATAGTGAGGTGTTCATAATCCTTGGTTTAGACATACACCTTGAATCATCGGATTGGGCGAATCTTTTAGCTAGTTAGTGTATCCTATAAACATGCAGGTCACCAAAGGCCATTTTGCTACTTTTTGTTAAAATTACCTTCCTCTCTAAATCCCTTAGAGGTTTTAGTGAACAACGATATATCGTTGCATAGCACTCACAGGGTTAAGTAAAGTTATTTTACACCAGATCCTGTTAACGTGATCACCATATTACGTTTAAAAATGAACTTATCAATGGAACTTTGATATTTTTCAGAGACGACTTGAAGGAATCGCAAAAACAGTTTGGAGAGGTAGAGTCGGCATTTGACTATGAAAAAGCTCCGCCTCGAGGATGGCAAGAGGGTAAAAAGGACTTTACGGCCAAACCTGTCTACAAGAAATACCACGTGTTTGAAGACGATGACCAGCCGTACGCCAAGTAGATCTTTGTATAGTTAGAGTTTGTAAATATAAATTATTAGTAGTTATTTGCTCTTCAATCATATAACCCTTTGCATTTGTAGAAAACATTTGCTCTATCAATAGATGAAGTACCGGTACCTTACTTTCTTGGATATTAAGTTTGATCAAATATGAAAGTTTTAAAACATTTAGACAATTTTAAACATCATTTTATCATTTTATCACATTTAACAATTTCTTAAGTAGGCCTATATAAGTGCAAACTTTTTAAATCAATTAGAAAAAGATTTAGGAGAGTTAATTCATTGATTTAATTTAAACAAAAAAATATTCATTTTTGATGTTCGAAAGGCATAAGTAGGATGACTAGGTTGTACGGAGATACGATATCAAAGCCCATTCTGAACTGATTATTTCTGACTGGGACTGTGGCGTCGTCCTGTTATCCAGCTACTTGAAGGTCACTAATTGTTGATATTTAGTCATGATATGTGGATGCGATACCCCATGGTGTGGATTAACGTCACACTAGTGATTACTACGACTATCCGCAGTACTATCCTGATAATTAGACCAATTCGTAAAATTATAAGGCAAAAATGTGGTTCGGATTCCACTATAAACTGTGGGTCCCTTAGTTGCCATTGGCTTTATGCGCTATTAATTAACAGCTGTATCCAAAGAACATGTCGGCCTTAGTCAATAACAAGACTACAAGATCGCACCACTCATCTCCATTCATACTTAAAATACCTACCTACCTTTGTATGATTGCCATTTCAATTAAAAGTATAAAGTAAAAATTAGGGCCTATAAAGTATTTGAATTATCAACAATTTGTGGAAAATCTATAATATTTAGGCTCATTTTGTAATAAATGGAAAATTAAACTGCCCACTACTTTGTTGGTCAGCGTTTTGTTCTGAACCCGATTAAAAAATATCTTCAGTACGACAGTAGCTTTATTGAGCTTTTTAAAGTAACTGGTGGTCACCAAGCCTTTTGAATTTATTTTTAAGAGGGGTTTAAAATAAAGTGTGTGGTTTAGTCTTAAAACTTTTGATGTTTGATAATAATATGAAGTAGACTTTTCTATTTTAATTTGTGTACGGTAAACTATTAGATCTAAATAAAAATTTTTTACTCCAATGAATCTAAACTTTATGAATAAATGTATTTTATATTTTGGAGAATAACTAAACTTTATTGTTTAATGTAATGAACTCTGTCTATGCTATTAACACAAAGATGGTGTATGACCATTGTTATTATCAGGCATTGCAATGTAAAGTACATAATCTAATGTAAATTCATGAACAAAAATTCTTTTTTTTCTGTGTTATGAAATAGGAAAGTTTATTGTCATTTTTGTAAAAACATAGTCATGGTAACGAATTAGAAATAATCAGGAAACCAGAATTCAAGTTAGTGCAAGACAAATTTCAAGTATTATAAATTTGAAAAACCCAGTTAGTTGCCGCAGTCAAAATGTCTTCAAAACACATATGTGCCCATTGCAACAAACCTATCAACGAGGCAGTGGTAGTTGCACTGGGCAAGAGTTGGCATAAGGAGCATTTTTTGTGTGCTCACTGTAAACAGCCGCTGAAAGATGCCAAGTACATACAGGAAGACGGAAAGCCGTACTGTGAAAAAGACTGGAAGGCCCTGTTTCAAACACCGAACCAACCTAAGTGTGCACAATGCAACTCGCCCATCCAAGACACAGTGGTAACAGCCATGGGGAAAACGTGGCATAAAGATCACTTTGTTTGCACCCACTGCAAAAAACCGTTCAAAGACTCAAAGTTCCTGACAGAAAACGGACTACCTTATTGCGAGGCAGACCACAAAGCTTTGTTTCAAAAAGGAGGCTCGAGTGGAGCGATTTGCGCTCAGTGCAACAAACCGATAGCAGACACCGTAACGCAGGCCATGGGTAAGAGTTGGCATAAAGAACATTTTGTGTGCACTCACTGCAAAAAACCGTTCAACGGTTCGTCATTCTTTGTCCAGGACGAGAAGCCGTATTGCGAAGACGATCATAAAAAACTCTTCCCGTCTGGAAACTGTGCTTCCGGCTCCAACCCTTTGTGCGCTCACTGCAACAAACCCATCACAGACACGGTTTTGACAGCGCTCGGTAAACATTGGCACAAAGACCACTTTGTTTGTGCTCACTGTAAGAAGCCCATCACAGAGGCAGAGTTTAGCACCAAGGACGGCCAAGCTTATTGTGAGAAGGACTACACAGCACTGTTCAGGAAGAAGTGCTCAGGATGTGGAGAGCTGATAAAGGATACAGTCCTGACTGCCTTGGACAAGCATTGGCACAAACAGTGCTTCTCCTGCAATAAATGCAAGAAACCCATCAACGCACAGCAAGGGTTCACAGAGAAGAATGGGATGCCTTTCTGTATGGGTTGTGGAGTGTAGGCTCATCTAGTGTAAAGTTTTGGATAGGGTAAAATTGGTTAATATATCTTATTGAGAACCTGATTCTATTTTTTTTTCTTTTTTTTCTGAAAATGTAGACACAAGTAGAAATTAGAAAAAAATTAGTACAAGTTGCAACTTAATATCTAGAGTTTTTTACTCTTTGAATATTCAAAAAAAGCTGTCACCACTCTTTTAAAATTTAATAATCACTACAATTATTATTGTGTTTAAAAACTGTACAGTTATCGAGTTATCCAATAAGTTTAGGATAAAATTCAGGTGAACGGGTTTTCCTGATGAAATGTATTTCTTAGCGAATGTAAGATAAATCTTTGTAAATGCATAGTTTCTCTAACTAAAACTTAAATCGTAATTGACAGGGGACCTTGAGCTTCATGACCTGTGAGGAATGTGTTCAACTGAATTTAAACTATTACAACCTAACGCTGTTTGGAATTCATCACTAGAATTTAGCTATAACGTCAAGACTGGTTTTATGCTAGTCCAGTGGTTGCAGTCTTTTGACAGGTTAAATTCCCATAACTTGTACAAGCAAAATCCATAGTAACAAGTGTAAAATTATGAAACCATCAAATAAGGAAATACAAATTTCAAGTATTGTGTAAAAGCAGAAGAGGCAATGGCTACCGAACAACGTTCAGATATCTACCAAGCTTCTGACGTACTTGAGATCTGCTCTCTCTGCAAGAAACCCATCACGGACACGGTGTTGGCAGCAATGGGCCGAACTTGGCACGTTGATCACTTCACCTGTGTCAAGTGCGGAGTGTCCATCAGGGAGAGTGGGTTCTACGTGGTGGCAGGCAAGCCGCACTGTGCAGACGACTACAAGAGACTCTACGGTAAGAAGTGCTCCGCCTGCAATCAGCTGATTGACAAAACAATCTACACAGCATTGGACCGACACTGGCATCCCAGCTGTTTTGTCTGCCGCAGGTGCAGCAACCCGATTTCAACCAAGGAGTTTGTAGAGAAGCGTGGCATACCTTACTGTATAGATTGTAGCAGGAGATAACTGGTATTGTAAATAACAACTTTAAAAATAAATTTGTAACAAAAGAGTGCTTAACTAGTTCCAAAACGTTGTCTATGATTTTGAATGATTAAAACCAAATGATTTTTTTGAATGATTTTGTTTTTTGGTTTGATTAAAACCATGTGGCTGACTTGGGAATTGTTTTGAAAAGAGATCATTCAGCTAGCTACCCTGAGAAAGATATAATTTTTCCTTTCTAAATGATACTTTTTTTAAACCACAGGCTTTTTTGAGGAGTTTAGGATTACAATTTAAATTAGTTATTGTAGAGTCAATATTTTTGATTAACGAATAAGAATCATTAGTTAACAACCTATTTTATCATACTTTATTTTGGCGTGTTACATGAAAATGGGGTTTACCTTTATCATAACTGTACAGCACAAATTTTTATCCATACACTTTTTATAATTTATGTTTTTCAACCCTTCTGTTTAAAATCACTACTAACATTGTTATAATACTGCAGGTTTTTCCTTTAACGTAAAAAATATGTCAATTAAATAAAATAAACTGGAGACTACATTACAGAGTTTACAAGCATTGAATACTTCTACATTATATTTGAAATGTAAAACAATATTTTCTAACTGTTTTGACTTGTTTGAGCTTGTTGTTACTTGGTTTGGTTTTAGTGTACATTTAATAACAAATTATTGTGGGTTTCACTGATTAATTAACCTAATTAAGATAGATGTAGATAACCATTTTGAGTCTTGGACAAAATCATTAGATTGGTAATCTTTTACTTAAACATTACCCAACTGTTCCACTACAGGATAAAGTCCAAGAAGAAAAAAACTAGTTCAATGTAGACCAAACTTGTTCTAGTTTCTCTGGCCAACAATCAATTTCAACGAGTGACAATAATTGTTTGTTTCCTGACTGACACACAGATTAATGAACCAATCACATCAATTGACTAATCACATCTCTGAGCTCACAAGCCGAAGGTATCCAGTCGAGGCAGGTTTTCATCGACGATTGATTCTACGTTGATTTTATCTAGAATTTCCTGTATTTTCTCCTTCAAAGGTTGTTCCAGAGTGTCGACTATTATGTGCCGTATCAGTCTTGGGAACGCGTTTATTATTCCCTCGATCATCATAGTGAGTGTCATCGGTTCGTTCATCTTGACCTTTACCCATCCCAGTTCAAGGTCCAAGTCGAACAGTTGTGGTTTCTTCCTTACATCCAGAGATTGGTGCACAATCGCCCTGACTTGTAGGTGGTCCACGGTGAAGTTGGTTTTGCCGCTTTTCACTATTCCGAATGTTTGTCCACTCCATTGACACTGCCCAGAGAGTTTTCCTGTCATTACGTGAATGCCGATTTCAATCACTCCCGCGTCCATGGATAGCGACAGATTGCCGACCCGGTGGAAACGGGACAACCCCTCCACCCAGAAGTCTGTGATGTTGACGTACACCAGACCTCCAAGCAAGAAGGTGTGGTCGTTGATGTTATACGGGTCGTAACCGGCGTTCTTGCAATACCTTCGCCCCTCGGAGAAAGCTAAATCCACGGGGTTCACTTTGTTGATGAACTTTGTCGAGAACTCTTTGAGTTTCTTGTTGACGTCGGTTCTGATGACTGAGTTGACTCTCTCGAGGATTTGTGGTTTGATGCTGTTGAACAGAGCGTCCCCCACCGCGCTGACTGCTCCTTGGAACATGGAACCTGTAAATCAAATCACTTTTGTAAAACTTTATTTATGTTTTGGGAGTCTCATTCACCTTACCTTACCAAGGGTTGGTATTCATCTTGAATCAAGAACTAGTTAGTTGTTAAACAAGCCACTGAATATAGTTCATTGCAGGCATAAAGAGTCATAGTCAAGTGGTTTGAGCGTTTCCCTCTATTTTCAATAATTGCTGATTTATTACGGAGAAAATTTGGTTCTGGATAAAGTTATCAATTTCTTATGCTGATGATTACTAGTTAGTGATTATATTTTATGTTTTTGACAACAATCAACAATGTTAAAGACAGAACCGAGGTATGAACACTCCTTAAACAAAAGGAAACATAAAAATCATTAAAAAATGTAACTTACGTATGCATAAACAAAACAAAATATTTATAGTTCTTCACAATACTAAATTTACCTTTTTACTTTACATTAGAAATAGACACCTTTTAAGAACTTAAAACAATTTGGAAAATGGAAGATGTTGGCAGTAAGTCTTAGTCATATGTTATTTATTTATTTTATTTTGATTGTTGTTTGTTTATGTTTTGATTCAGTTTGTTTTGAGTTGTGGTGAATTTAGTTTCATGATGTTACAGTCAATAAATTTAGTTTAAAGAATATATGTGTTAATCTATATAAGCAGGGGTTTTAACCTTGACAGTAAAAATCTTAGAATTTAAATCAAGTTTCATAAAAAAACAGTACTAGTAGTTTCAGTGGATAGTACTAGTTTTAAATTTCAATGGCAAATGTTACGAACCCAAGAAGCCGAGGTTTTTGAAGTCTATTCTCATGTCCTTCGTAATCATGTCCATTTGAGAGTCAGCGGCTTCTAGATATCCTTCAGCAGCTGTTTGGATCTCAGCAACGCCTTCTGAATCTACATCGAGAAGAGTGACATTGAACGGTCCTGCCGCTCTGGTGAAGAACGATCGTAGAGTGTAATTGCCGAGAATCACCAATCTCTTCATGTGAAGGAGGATGTATACCTAAGAAACAAGTTCAAATTTAGTTGAGTTAAAAGTCACTTCTTGTGATGAAAGATCTACTTGAAAAGGAGTACCTATTTAGGTAATACTAGTTCTTTTTTGCCGAATTGGTTTTAGTATACTGTTCACTTACCATGGGGGTAACTAGAAAAATATAAGTATTTCAAAATATTCCGGCACCCGTTTTGTATCAAAATATTGCTAACGTTTCGGTATTTTTGCAACACTATACAGTTAGCAGCTAGTTTCTGGTCTTTTTATGCACCTGATAGTTTGGTTGAAAATTTATTTTGAATTGTGTTTTTTAAACTGTGTTGCAATTAATTGTATGTATGGGTTGTGTTTTACTTAGCCTACTCTGTATTTATTTGTATATAGTGTGTTCATTTATTTATTTGTCAATACTGTGGCAAAAAATATTGTACGCAATTAATCCGGGATGATGTTTACGGTATGAAATCCCACGTGAGGCATGCTTGTAATTGAACCCCTACTTTTCAGCCTAATTGAAGATTCAAATATGCCATGGTTATTATTATATGGTTATTGATTGAAAGATTATGCCATTTACTCTAAACAATTACAAGAATTTAACTGAGAATAGAGTTATCATGAAGTATCGTAAGATGTAACTCTGTATACAACCAAACTGTGTTGTAACTGAACAATATTTCCCGATGGTTATATTTTTCCCCTAGAAGTTTCTCGGGCAACAACAGTGTTTTTAAAGCCCAACTTCTTCATAAATATAGTTATGCAACAACATAGCTTACATAACGATTGACTAGTTAAAATATTTACCTGCATTCTGTCCACATCTGTGTTTATATGTTCCACCGTAAATTTGGAAAGGCCGTAAACTTTCATGTCTTTGAAATCCATCGTGCCGACCGAGAGTGATTGCCTGAAGTCTTGCATTGTCATCGGCTCTGGAAAAAAGCTCTGCCCTGGAATTACTACTTCTCCGACCTTTTTGTAAGTGATCAGAACCAACCTTATCTGGTCGCTTAGTTTGTTCACTTTGTCCATTGTAAACTCTATCATTGATTTTTCTTTGTTTTCTGGCGTAGCAGCTTCAGGCGTCGCAGTGCTGCTTGGGCTGTAATATGGAAGTTCCTCATCGTCATCTTCTGAAGATGATTCAGGTGTTTTCTCTGATGTTTCACTTTCAGTCGTCGAAGAAGATTCAGGAGTGGTACTAGGATTTACCTCTGTGGTTGTTTCAGATTCAGTTTCAGTGGTCGGTTGAGTATCGGTTTCAGCTGTCTCAGTCGTTTCGCTAGCCTCTGTTTCTGTTGTAGTTTCAGCTTGGTCGGTTTCTGTTGTGCCATTCTGTTCAGGCTCTGTGGTAGGTTCAGGATCTTTCTGTGTGGTTGTTTCAACAACAACAGTCGGTTCTGGATCTTCTTCATTGTGATTTTCTACTTCTACAGGTAAAACTGGCTCTGAATGTAAGGTCCTGTTTTTTTCTTGTTCGTTATTTTTTAATGTCTGATTATTTTGTCCTAACGAGTTTACAGAGTCGGATGTAGAATCTAGAGATCGTTTTACTACTTTCTTTCCCTTTGTTTTCTCGTTACTCTCTGAACTTGAACTTGAACTGCTTGAACTGCTAGAGCTTGAACTTTTTGTACCGTTTGAAAAGGTTTTAATTTCTTCACTTGACTCAGTCTCTTGGGAAGAACTTGAGTCTTCTTGGTTGTCTTTAGATAGAATAACGGTTGAAAGAGTGTCCACTTTCTGCTGCAAATCATTGACTTCTGATTTATCCAAAAGTTCTTCGTCCGCTAGTTTTCCATCTTTTGAGAAAATTGCAGCTAAAAACAAAAAAGAAAACTTAAAATTTCAAAAAGAAATGTGTCTTAAAATCAGTACATGCACAGAATCAATTGCTTTCTTCTCAATGGTTAAAAACACGTAACTTACAAATTTGTTTGCAAAATATCTTTGCTACAGCAAAATACCACACAGATAAAGCCATCTTTACCAAAAATGTTATATTTATTAACATTCAATGACGTATCTCGACTTGCCATAAACCTTGAACTATATATATTTTTTGTTTTTTAATAGCTTAGTTTATCAGTTCTTGAACTTGACATACTTAGATTATCATGAATAAAATATATGTGTTTAGTAGGTACAGTAACACCATCAAGCCAAAATAATCCACATTTTATTCTAAACAGAGGAGAAGATAAATCTCAAAGAAAAGATTTATAGAGAGAAAAATAAAAAACAGGGGTTAAGTTTGTGTTTTACATTGTTAAAAATTTTCTTTTAAAATTTACCAACAGGTTAACACCATATTTTTTTCTAAATGTCAAAAGATATTCAGTATCAATAACGGTAGAGAATAAATCAAGAGTTCAATGATCAAAAGATCATGGAGCTTGCTTAATTTAAATTTCACAATATTACTGATTTCCCTTCAAGTTTACACAACCGATCAAAATTCAAGAAAACATTAACTATTAAACCTAAATATTCATGAATATCGATGCTGCATTGAACAGAGATAGGGAAATTAAATATTCCCAACCCAATTAGTTGTTATACAAGTTCACTATTCACATTTATGTACTTTATACTCACGATTGTACTTTACACTAACCAAGCATGAGGACTGACATAAGCTCCTAAATTAAGATATAAAAATACCAATAGTGCAATGCTTCTCTTATTGAGTAAATATTTTAGCTAATTTGATCCAATTTAACTTAAAGCCGGAAACAGCAAATTTTGCATTCATAAAGTTACAAATTTAAACCTATCGTGGCACTTAACATAGTTAACGTCTATATATTTAGCTAAAAAGTAGAAAATAATTTATAAATATGTGGAGAGTATAAATACTTGTGAGATTTAAAACAAAAAATGTGGGGTGCATGCAATTGATAATAATACATTAATTCAATAGTTGGAGGTAATTGTAAATCATCTATTGCATGCACCCCACGTTTTTCGTTTTAAATCTTACAAGTATTTATACTCTCCACATATTTATAAATTATTTTCTACTTTTTAGTGCGTTAAAAAACGTTTTGTTTTAAGAAGTTTTTTATTTATAAATTATTTCTATTCATCCACACCCATTTTCAATCCAAATAGAGTTTTCTGGAAGAGGGAGTTGGCAGTACTGGCTCAAAAATAAATTATAATTATAGATAGATAGACATTGTTATATTGTAGCACAGAGAATAGACCATTTATGGGATGGTCTATTGTTGTGATTGTAGTCCCCCCCCCAAAAAAAATATTCAGTTTTTTTGCTCAGGATAAAAGTGTCTTGAATGTCAACAAGTCTATAATAGAACCATTTTACATAACATGAAGTTCTTACAACATAGATACAAAATTTAGGAAAGTGTAAAACTACAACTTTTTGGTATGGTTACCTTTCTCAGTCATATTATCACACTGCTCTTAAAATTAAAATAATAACAAAATGTGTAGATGTTAAATGATCAACAAATGGAGCTAAACAAAATACACTCATATTAATAATCTTGATTCCTGTAGACAATTTTGCATTGCATTGGAAACATATTCATAATAAACTAACCTAAACCTTGTAAGGAATACCTTACAAATATACCAAATAAATCTATAATGACTCAATATCTTCTAATAAGATTTTTAGACTAAAACTTGTTTTGTAAGTAACTAAAGTGATATGACCTTATAAAAAACTGTAATGATGTACGGTATTATTATTGCACATGGATTGCATTATAACTTTATCTTTTGTGTTTGTACTTAAATCTAGGTTGCTTGATTAGCTGCATTACAGATAAAAATTGTCACACAGGAAACAGCTGAGTTTACAGCTTGCTTATCAACATTGTTTTGATTAGTCATAACTCTTGCTTGCATGCATGTTTTCCATGGCTTATCATATAAAAGACATGAATCATGCTTTACTGGATATTACTATATAGACGTGGTTACCGTATTAATATGTTCTTGCTTATTTTATCCAAATTTTAGACATTGTTGATGCTAGTTTGGGCTAATATTTTAAACATTTTCTAGATAATAATACATTGTTTTATGTAATTTTAAAGTAATAATTAAGGTGACTGAAATAATTTGAAACGGTAAAAGTTTGTAAGTACCAAATATTATCAGCACATGGAAACAAGGCTTTTTTTATGTGAAAACTATAAATCCAGCCTTTTTTGATTTTTTTGTAACCTCTGCAAACATATTCTCAGAATAGATACATGACAAGATAGATGTAATATTTGTCTTTTTTACTTGGTTTTATTAAAGTAGTTTTATAATTAAATACATTAAAGTCAAATTCAATAATTAACAATACAGGTAATCATATTGAATCAAAATATGTTTTATGGATGGTGCTTTGATGTTTTTTTCTACAAAATATTTACTACTGCACTGGTTCTATATACAATCCTATTTGGATTTGTAATTCGTCCCGGTTTTTTGCAACAATCACCAGTGAACCAATAAATTCCCAGTGTCCTAAAAGGAACTCTCAAGACAGTAAATTCTCACATATTCTAAAAATACCCCCGCCGCAGCAAACCTGCAGACTTAGCGAATTTCCATCTGCCTGATTGGATTTAAACTAAAATGTCTCCTTAAAAATATCACATTTATTCCCTATTTAAACAGAATTAGTTTAATGAGTACTTAGGTTTGCTGCAACAGGGAGGGTAAAAAAGTTTTTTTTTAATGTAAAATATTAAAAGGTACTGTGGTTTGGTAAGAAATTAATGTATTTTCCAAATTTTATCAAAATATGTTCATAAACAAGCAAACTACAACAGTTGACTTATTCTCCATAAGAATAACATGGGAATTTTAAAATTACAATTTTTTTAATTTTCTCCGTAACAATTAGGTGCATAATAACGCTTCAATATACTAAATTATTTGTTTTTTTAAGCTCTACAAAATGGTTTAAAAAGAAATTGTGAAATTTTGTATTTTTAGTGTCAAAAATGAGAAAAACCTATTTTTACCCCATAAAACACCCCATAAACCCCCGTTCCCATAGTCCGATCATGCTGGTTCGCGAACTCATTCAAGTTTATCCCGCCTTACACCTTCAAACCAAATTTTATCAAAATCAGACAAAAATTACTCAAGTTATCGTGCGGATGGACACATATATATATATATATATATATATATATCTATATATAGATATATAAAAATTTGAACGAATGGTGTTTTTGGCCTCTGGGGACATCAAAATGAAAAAGTAAATCGGTCTCGGGCTTAGGTCTTACCATGAGACCTACGGTAATAGCTACTTCCCTATAGGGAAATTCGCTAATATAATATAATAATACTAGAGCTCGATCCGTGGTCAAAAACTCAACCAAAAATATGTATTGTACAAAATTATCTATTTTCACACCACGCTGTAAATAAAACATGTGATTGGAATTTCTTAATTTTTTTATATTTTCTGTGTATTTTTTTATTTTCTCTGTTTATTTTGTTGTTATTTCGTCACCAACATGGCAACCCATAAAAATCGATGTTAATTTATTTTGAATTTTAAATTTATTTTTTGTGCTTATTTTTGAGTCTATTTTAATTCATAAAGGGTTTTTGCACATCTACAGGCAAATATATTTCTAACAATATGCGTAGATTTTCCCTGATGCACAGGAGCTGAGAAAAAAGGTTTTCAAGAAACAGCTTGTATTTTAATATATAGAACTATCCTTTGAGTTAAATCTCCATAAGAAAAGTTTAATTTGCATTTTTATTTTTGACCCAATTAACATAAATATTTTCAAAAAAAAAAAAAAAAAAAAAAACCTGCACACAGGACCAATAAAAATGTTAACCAAACAATTGCTATGACAGTTGTAAATAAAAGTAGTATTTCGTAAAATTTCCTCGAAAATGTTTTTGGAATCCAATTGGAGATCGACAGATCAAATTTCCCGGTGACGTTTGGTCCAAACTAATATTTACGCGCAGATAAGTCAGTAGCCAATCGTCACTGATAATACAAAACTGTTATTTTAACCAGCTCTTGTTGATTGTAGCTTTTAAAACACACATAGTTGGGAACAAAACCATGTTGACTCTATTGTGATATTTGCATTTTAATACAGCATTAGAATAGAAGAGAATAATTTTGTCCCCTCTTTCCTGAGAAAATTTTTGTAAAGTCGTGTGTTGATTATATCCGTTATTTATGTAACATTATGAAATTACATGAATTATCAGATTTATTTTCTAAGAAAAGTGTTTTACATTTTTAATCATAGGTACATTTGAACTAGGTATTTTTTGTCACTGGAAAAAAATTTTACAAACAATTATTTGTGAGGGATAATAATTTTGCAAGTTTAGCCTATTTGAAATCACAAAGCTGTGTGATTTTCAGTCCACTAACTTATATTTATATAAATATTTTTTAACTAAAGCAAATAAATGGGAGTATTTTGAAATAGCTACAGAGAACGTATAGTATCAATAAATAAATATATTCACAATAGGTGCAAATTGTTAGGTTTTTTTTACTTATCTAGACTTTATTAGCGAATTTCCATTTTAGGGAATAAGCTACGAGTATTATTAGGTTTTTTGTAGGTTCCTGGTCTAAAAAATGTATTTAGTAACTTTGAAAGTTCTGGTTTGGTTTTATGTTTGATAATTTATTAAAACAGGATATTTTAATGGAGTGTTTCCGTCTACAAAATAAAAAAAAACTCGTTTGTATCATGAAAAACTACAAAGTATTTTGTATCTTACACTTCTAACATAAGTGTATTTATTGGTTTGGTATAATTTAAGATCTGTTTACGTGAAGTTATGCACCTATAAAATAATTATAATATAATATAACCTATAATTAATAGTCTACCTAATTAATTATTTAAGGGGATACATAATGAATGTTGATTCAACATAGTTAACTGGCATTATTAATTTGCATATACAAATTGTACATTGATTTTTTACATTAGTTTTTTACTGTGTTGATAAAATAGGAATAACTCAACTCAAATCTCAAAAATGTTAAAACCACTTCAAAATCATTTTGTAAATTATCTTTGTGAAACTCCTTTCAATCTATCACAGTAAAATTGTTTTCCCAACTTTATAATTTATGTAATTATAACTTATCCATTGGTTCAATCACACTACGGTAGCATACATAAACCGCAAGTCATCAATTGCACGATTAAAATTCCACTGTTGAAGGGACACTAGATAAACTGCTGGTCATTGCAATAAAATTTAAAATGTACAACAATAATTAATACCAAAAACAAAACTGTTCAAAACCCATAATTGTTTCCTATTACGAGACTTTTCAAATTAAGAATTTTTACCAAAGTTTCAACAAATCATTTTTCACCACTTATAAAAATATTTATATTGCTTATAAACATATATAAAAATACTTACATGCGGTACAGTGCGCAGCTAAACACAGTAACAACACCAGAGCTCTGTTGTACTCCATGGTCCGTGGGATACTGAGGTCTTAGGTCAAGTATCTGGATCTAGATGTTGTCATTGGTGGACAAACAAATCCATTCATCGACACACTTGGCTTTGATTTAAACCGAGTGTAAACAGTTTTCTTTGTGACCCACGCTGGTTTATTGGGTATGGATGACACAGGAAAAGCCCAATTAATAATGTTTTGACTGAAGGCCGAAAGGTGGCGCTCATTGTCTCACACATTTTATCACGATTTAAATTCAGATTAATGGTGTATTGTAGGTTTTGAATAAATATTGTTTTCATCCTATTGTAAAATAATAAAATTACACTATCAGTTGTTGATTTGTTTTGCGAGTCGCTTTGGCAATAGACCTAGATAGATTGTGTAAAATAATCGGGTTTAACAATTCTTAATAATATTTTTGATCATGCAATAAATTGAGGATACCCAAACGGTTGCTATAATCTAATGAAAACGTGTTTCATCTCAATTAAATGATATAATAATTTTGAATATTTTAAATCTATATAAATAAAATTAGAGTTTTGTCTGTACATTGCTTAGAATAATGAACTTTTTGGTTATTTTTACATTTCATAGGTCAGAGAAACCGAATCAAACCTTATCTCAATTTCTGTCTGTCTGTCTGTCTGTCTGTCTGTCTGTCTGTCTGTCTGTCTATCTGTCATTCTCTTGGTAACGCTAAAATACGCACTTTATTACAACTACTCCTCAATAACTATAGCACTGTCCCGCCTGAAACTTATTTTCCAAATACTATACATATATGAGATGGTTTTAGACGTATTTCATCGAATATGAGACAGTTAGATATTTAACAGTAAACCCTTGAAAATCAAGTTTTTGTCGATTTTTGACGTGGAATTTCTGGAAGCCCATGTTAACCTTATGAGAAATGAAATTATTGAATCTTAACAGCTGTTTCAATTAAACAAGTTGGTTCTGTTCTGTGATGTTCAATAGCATTAAAGTTACAAGGATTACCAACAGGGTGCAGCACTAGCACTATTATTTCTTTTACATTTATGACAACAGCTAATTTGCAACCTGGAGGCGAGTGAGCGTAGCGAACGAGCTAACCTGAAGGCAAGTGAGCGTAGCGAACGAGCTAACCTGAAGGAAAGTGAGCGCAGCGAACGAGCTCCAACATACAGGTGAGTGAGCGTAGCGAACGAACTTCAACCAGGACGTGATTGAGCCATGCAAACGAGATCAGATAGTAAAAATAAAAGTAAGCCTACCGTTATAGGATCGACCGGCAGACACAGAGGTAATTTAACCTTTTATTGATTGTCATACCGATCCGGAACAACAAAAAACAACATAAAATGAAGCTATGTATAATAGTTTGGCCAGCATATCTTAAAATATGCAAACCAACTGCTGTTCGTTATATAAGAAGGTTTCAACTGAATATTATAAGATCCCCGTGCGTAGAACGGGTACACAGCTAGTCCCATACTAAAATAGTTGTTAATTTATTTTAAATATTTTACAAATTAAAGGACAATAGATCGACTGTGTGAAAATTGGTTTTTATAATTAATTCGTGATTGTATTATTCTTGCATTAGAAAATAAACAAATTAAGGATACCAAAAAGGCTGCACTAATTTTCTCTGCCTACCCAAAAAAGTGTTTTATAGTTATTTTATTGCGATAGTACAATTAATGTTGTGTTGATAATTATTTGGAAATCATTACTTTTAAAATCCCATGGTAAACTTAAAAATAATTTTTGTAAGTTGTTAATTTTGTTGGGAAATATTTGCAAATTGAATTACATTACATTGAATACATAAAATAATTGGGGTTCTGCAATTACTCATTTTATTTTGATTAAAAATAACAGATTAACTGTAAGGTGACCATAATCTTCTGAGGGTAGATAAACACGTTTAATTGTTTTTATTGCAACTAATATTTAGTACCAATGGCGTAATAATGATTTTTATAATCAGTTGGGGTTTTTAAGTTGATATTTAAATTGAATGTTAAATTTTGGTTTCCATATTTAAAAAAAAAATAGCTAAAAATTAAAATGTCAATTGTTGGCTTTTAAATAGAATATAATAACATCATTATCATTCTTTTGCTAGTACATTAGCATCCTTGTCAAAACAAATTTTCTGAAAATATCTTCTAAACAAGTCTTAATTAACTGAAGCCAAAATATTACTGTATTAGGTACTATACCAAACTCCAAAAGTATGATTTAAATGTAACGTTTAACACTATATAGATCAATACACTACAGAAGTTGACAGTTTCGGTGTGTATGTCTGTTTGTCTGTATGAATGTTTGTTTGTCTATGTATCTCTATGTATGTGTGTGTGTTTGTTCACGTGAATACAAAAACCTCTAAAATTTTTACACATATAGATTGAATGACCACGAATTTGATGAATTTAACCATAATTGTCTGTGCTATTAACATTATTACATTTATGTCCTTATAATTCTCACAGTTAACACCCAACTTACTTTAATACATATTGCTCTATTTCCTGTTTCCTTTTGTTTCTTTACTGATAAAGTAATTTATTATTTTATGCATGTGTTCATGTTAATTAAACGTTTAAAACACAAATTGAACTGTACAAATGAATAATAGTTTTCACCACAGTATACTAATGTGAGATTGTATTGGCTGCACTACAATTAGTGGAAAAAAATTTCAGCCATAAATAATTGTTCAAAATCAAAACTACCTCAAATTATTGTTCACAGTGAAAAATAAGTTATGAACATCATCTCAAAGTATTAGGTGCTAATAGGGTAACAGTTTGTTTTACAATGGTTAGGAATGTGCAACACTTCTAGAGAATTTGCATCAGCATAAAATAATACAAAGGTGTAGTGTGTGTAACATAACCTTACAGATAGCAGCATCCACAGAGCTGCTGAATCAGTCAGCTGATACAGTTTCATCTATCTTATATTTCTGTACAGCATTGGATAAAAAGATCAAATGTCCAGTAAAAAGTGTAAAATACTGTACAATTCATCTATCTATCTATCTATTATCTATCTATATTATTAACTAGCTGTGTACCCGTTCTACGCACGGGGATCTTATAATATTCAGTTGAAACCTTCTTATATAAAGAACAGCAGTTGGTTTGCATATTTTAAGATATGCTGGCCAAACTATTATACATAGCTTCATTTTATGTTGTTTTTTGTTGTTCCGGATCGGTATGACAATCAATAAAAGGTTAAATTACCTCTGTGTCTGCCGGTCGATCCTATAACGGTAGGCTTACTTTTATTTTTACTATCTGATCTCGTTTGCATGGCTCAATCACGTCCTGGTTGAAGTTCGTTCGCTACGCTCACTCACCTGTATGTTGGAGCTCGTTCGCTGCGCTCACTTTCCTTCAGGTTAGCTCGTTCGCTACGCTCACTTGCCTTCAGGTTAGCTCGTTCGCTACGCTCACTCGCCTCCAGGTTGCAAATTAGCTGTTGTCATAAATGTAAAAGAAATAATAGTGCTAGTGCTGCACCCTGTTGGTAATCCTTGTAACTTTAATGCTATTGAACATCACAGAACAGAACCAACTTGTTTAATTGAAACAGCTGTTAAGATTCAATAATTTCATTTCTCATAAGGTTAACATGGGCTTCCAGAAATTCCACGTCAAAAATCGACAAAAACTTGATTTTCAAGGGTTTACTGTTAAATATCTAACTGTCTCATATTCGATGAAATACGTCTAAAACCATCTCATATATGTATAGTATTTGGAAAATAAGTTTCAGGCGGGACAGTGCTATAGTTATTGAGGAGTAGTTGTAATAAAGTGCGTATTTTAGCGTTACCAAGAGAATGACAGATAGACAGACAGACAGACAGACAGACAGACAGACAGAAATTGAGATAAGGTTTGATTCGGTTTCTCTGACCTATGAAATGTAAAAATAACCAAAAAGTTCATTATTCTAAGCAATGTACAGACAAAACTCTAATTTTATTTATATAGATACGCTACATAAAACTCTGTAAGCAATAGGGCCTTTTTTGTTTTAAGATTTAACCCCACATATTATATACCAAATTGCTTATCTAGGTGTGTAGATTTGCAAACTGTCCTTACAATTTTTGAAAAAAGTCCCCATATGTTATCCTAATGAAGAACAATAAGCTGGATAATTTAATTGCTGTTAATATTTTAGTTGCAATTTAAGGAAACGTGTGCTACAAACATTTACTGATTTGGTTGTAATGAAATGTTTACTCTTTGAATTTGGGTTGGTGTAAATATTACAATGGAAGAAAGCAAGAAAGCCTGGACTATTAACAAAACTGAATTAACACTGTGCTGCATTTCTTGAGCGATCATTGAAAGAGCCGATTTGCAAACTAAGGAAACATAGGAAAGTCATAGAACACCACCAAGTAGAAGAAATAGAAGTAATGTTTTTAGCGAATTTTCCATATAGGGAATAAGCTATTTTTAGAATTTACTAGTGTCCCTGTTGCTCGAATTTGAGCAACTGCTAAGTATTACAGACGTTATTTTAAAACTAATAACAGTCATAAATTCTGATGACTTTAAAAGATTCAACTCAAATCTTTTCTTTTCTTTATTATAGACAACCTAATGTGGCTATGAGTGGAAAATATTTGTAGAAAACACTAAAAAACAAGTTCAGCTGCTTTTGAAAAATGATAGGATATTTACAAGAAATGTTGATTACATCAAACTGTTATGTACATAGTGAGTATTTCCATAATCTTTGAGTCGACTCTTTTAAAGTCATTGGAAATGATGACTGTTATTTGTTTGTAAAGCCTGTAAAACTTCGCAATTGCTCAAATTCGAGCAACAGGTACACTAGTTATAAAATATTAAAATTAGCAGATAACAGTATAAAGCGCATAACAGATATTTTAATAGTAGTTTTTTTTCTTTGGCATACACATTTTCATGAGCCAAACTAAGCCCTTAGAAAATATATTTATGTTTTGCGAGAGGGGGGATGAGGCGGCACCATCTTGTTTGAGGGGTTAGAGAAGCAGCCCTCCTTATAAACTATTTTGTTATAAATTGATCGAAACATATGCTTAGGATGCCTAAAAGCTATAATTCTCTTC